AAGCATTGGATGTTATAGTGATGGAAAGACAGTAGTATGTGATGACTTCAGAATGCATGGAATTGGTGGCATCAGAATTACAGTTCTATTGGACAGGAAGGATTCTTTTTGTTTGGCTTTCATTGATTAAGCTAGTTGTTTTTTTTTATTGGGATTTGGTTCTGATTTTTGACATATTTAATCTACATGCATTTTTGTTTTGTAAATAAAGACTGTATAAAGTAGGATAAGTGACTTCATAAATTCTTCTCTGTAACGTTCTATCAACCAAAGAGATGCTATAAACATGAAGTTAATTGGGGTCCTTTGTGAGCTTTTGTATTTCATATAAGTGTGGATGTGTAGTCCCAGGTTATGGATAATGGTGGTGGCAACAAATTCAGAGGAGCCTATGACAAACTGATAGTGAGTGGTAGGACACAAACATTACTAAGAGAAGGAGCTGTGTTAGTCTGTCTCCGCAAAAAGAAAAGGAGTACTTGTGGCACCTTAGAGACTAACACATTTATTGGAGCATAAGCTTTCGTGAGCTAGGTTTAGGTTGGATATTAAGAAAAACTTTTTCACAAGACGGTGGTGAAGCACTGGAATGGGTTACCTAGGGAGGTAGTGGAATCTCCTTCCTTAGAGGTTTTTAAGATCAGGCTTGACAAAACCCTGGCTGAGATGATGCATCCGATGAAGTGAGCTATAGCTCACGAAAGCTTATGCTCAAATAAATTTGTTAGTCTCTAAGGTGCCACAAGTCCTCCCTTTCTTATTACTGAGAGAGTTCAAAATACTGACAGTCTAAACTGAAGGTGCACAGGAAATGTTTTTTTTTCTTGCTATTTTTATTTTGTGTGTGAAAGTTGACTCTCCAATCCCAGTGGAGAAATTGACCATCTGTGGGATGTGATTGAGAGATATTATACCATTTTCTGAAGAAAAAGCAACTTATTTAGGCCTGGGAAATTAAGAAATAGGAGGAGCAGTTGGAAATTAGGCCGCAGATAATAGTCAAGACTGAGCTTTTGCAAATGGAGCTATTTAGCAGTGAGGTGAGATCATGAAGGAACAAGTATAAGTAGGAGCACTGCCAGCAGATTGAGGGACGTGATCATTCCCCTCTATTTGGCACTGGTGAGGCCTCATCTGGAGTACTGTGTCCAGTTTTGGACCCCACACTACAAGAAGGATGTGGAGAAATTGGAAAGAGTCCAGCAGGAGGACAACAAAAATGATTAGGGGACTGGAACACATGACTTATGAGGAGAGGCTGAGAGAACTGGGATTGTTTAGTCTGCGGAAGAGAAGAATGAGGGGGGATTTGATAGCTGCTTTCAACTACCTGAAAGGGGGTTCCAAAGAGGATGGCTCTAGACTGTTCTCAGTGGTGGCAGATGATAGAACAAGGAGGAATGGTCTCAAGTTGCAGTGGGGGAGGTTTAGGTTGGATATTAGGAAAAACTTTTTCACAAGGAGGGTGGTAAAGCACTGGAATGGGTTACCTAGGGAGGTGGTGGAATCTCCTTCCTTAGAGGTTTTTAAGGTCAGGCTTGACAGAGCCCTGGCTGGGATGATTTAGTTGGGGATTGGTCAGGGGTGAAAGTAACTGAGGCCACTTACCGGTACGGGGCAGGACATCTCTGGCCCCCAGAAGGGGTGGGGCCTCGGGTGGAAGGGGTGGGGCTGGGGGTCAGCATCCCCCAGCCAGCCCTTCCAGTCCGGCTGGCCCGCGCCGCCCAGGGCTCCCGTGTTGATTTAAAGGGCCTCGGGCTCCGGACGCCACTGCTGCCCAGGGCAGCTGCTCCCTTTGCCCCCTCCCTCCCCCCGGCCGCCCATTAGCGGCTGGGGGGGGCAAAAGGGGCAGGAATGTTAAAGCGCTGCAGGGTCCGTTGCTGCCCCTTCCCCCCGCCCGGTCGGAGGCCCTGGCGGTACGGACCCGACAGGGGAGGCAAAAGGGGCAGGGACATTAAAGCGCTGCCACGGCAACGCTTTACTGTGGGCTGGGTATGGGCCGGTGCGGGTTCTTACCGGTAGGCAGGACCGGCCCCTACCGGCTCCCTTTCACCCCTGGGATTGGTCCTGCTTTGAGCAAGGGGTTGGACTAGATGACCTCCTGCGGTCCCTTCCAACCCTGATATTCTATGATTCTATGATAAACCAGACAAGCAGCTGAAATTGAGTTCCAGAATAGATGGTCTTTAGGGCAGGGGTCTGTGTCGTCTTATGTGGTTTTTTTAGTGATGAATACAATGAGGTCCTGATCTTGATTAGGGCTCGCAAACATTACTAAAATCTCAAATAGTAATAACAATCATTCTTATTATTCCTAATAATACACACAAGCTTATTCAAAGTTGGCATTGAGTCCCCTTCCATGGTATGCAGAAAATGGAAAGTCCTCTGCAAATCTACTTCCTAGTCCCATTGTGGGACTTCAGTGTTCTGGAGGGCTTTGAGGTGCCCTATGCCAGAATGAATTTCATCCATTGAGAATAGGAGAAACATGTATGAGAAATATGTTATTTCCTGTTGAGTGAGTTTATTAGTGATCAGAATGGAATCACATGGCTGCATTTTTAAAGGTACTTCACTCACAATGGAGTTGATTCATAGCTTTTCAAAAAGGGTACATTAACCAGTTTCCATTGATTATTATTAGTATTTTAAAATTAAAAATAAGCAACAGACTGCAGATAAGGGGCTATCAGAAACCTAGAGAGTGGGAAAGAGAGACTGGTTCACCATTTTAATGATTGATTTAACATATTTAAAATTATTTTATTAGTTGTCATTACAATGCTAATTCAATGCAGTGTAATGCTGTCAGATGGAAAGAATTGTATTTAAATTATATTATGTTAAAATATTGCAGCTATTTTCTCTCTTCCAAAGAACTGTGTGGGAGAATATTTTTAAAAATATACTTTAAATATTTAAAATGTTTCTTTTTAAAAAGTTATTTTATCATTGCAATAAAAATCCCAAATTGTGTAGCAGTGGTGAATAACGCATTTAGATGTGCATTTTTCAGCATTAATCTTTCCTCTGCATTGCTTATAAACTACCTACATGGAACTCCACTTATAAGTAATTAAACATTTTTCAATCAGTTGCTAGAATACTGACTATACAGATACTATAATTATCTATAAACCACTTAATTTGGGAGGATTGAAATTATTTACGTTTTGTGTTACACTTGTTTTAAATAATACAGTTCTCCAGTGTATCAGAAGCACTTGGCTTTATGTTTGTTTTCACTGCACACCTCAGCTATATTATTCAGCACTGCTGTACAGTCTATGCTTTATTGCTTAAATAGAGGGTAGTACTTTAAATGAACACCAGTTACAGCTAACAGTTTCTCATCTAGACAGTTGGATGTATTAGTATTTTAATTACCTGGCTGTAATTTCCACTTAATTTGGAGAATGTCTAACATTCTCCTCCAGCACTAAACCAATCTCATTTACAATGCTTTATTATCACAGTTCAGATTCCAGCAGCAGTCTCACTCAACAGCAGTCATACCAGCAGGATTTCTCTGGCTAGTCTTCAGAACATTACTTACTCTCGGAAGGAACTTCCAGTTGAAGAGTAATAACATCCAATAAACATATTTTATATTTGGAAAAAAACACCCAGTTCAGCTTGAGAAATAATGTCTTTGAAAACAACCGTGTTAGACAAAAGCTAAGGCTGACTTGGTATCCCACCTAAGGTAAATGTACCTACACAAAGGATCTTTGAACTGAGGAGAGAACACCAAATAGCCTTAAATGTGTTTTCTTTGATTTAAAATTTCCAGGCTAAGATTTTAAAAGGAGCCAAAGGGAGTTGGGTGGCCCAAATTCCACTGATTTCATTGAGAGCTGGGTGCCTAACTTCTTTAGGCCCCATTGAAAATCTCAACCTAGCTGGATATTTCTTTACTAATAACACATTTTAGGCTAAGTTGGCTGTTTTGTACATGTAAAGCTTTTTTGATCAGTTGGATTATAACAACAGTTCTCTTTTTCTACTAGGCTTCAAGTCACCACCATGCCAATAATTTCAGGCATAAGAAAAAGATAACCAATTATTCACATTAATGATATAGTCTGTAGGGATTGGCTACTTATTTTGTTGCAGGTATAAGAAAAGATCTCTGATATCTGTTTAAAAAGGAAGGCTCTTTCCTTTCTTTTCCCAGGGTGCTCTCCTCAGGAAAGGAAAAAACGAGTGATAGACTAGTATCACTCGCTCTTCTGCCTCCCTTGGTCTCTTCCCTGCTCACCCAGGTTATTTATACTGCCTCCCTTCATATGGGAAAATGCAGCTATCTTTGTGTTCCTGCTGAGTCAGTGCCCTGTGAGCATCAGCAGCAGCTACAAGGATCACAGGAGGAGGCTGTCACAAGGGCAGCAGCTAACACATCACAATGGAGTCTGCTGTACTTGTTAGAGAAACACCCTGGATGTCACCTCAAACTCAGTGACACAACCCCTGCCCGCTTCCACTTTCTGTTTGTGTGTGTTGGGAATTGCAGACGGTGCCTGGGGTTTCCAGTGGCTCTGTGTGATCAGGCCCCAGAATCCAGTTACAGACACAGAATTATTTGATACTGGTGAAAACCGATTGGCAAATGTTGTGCATAAAATACTCAGCCCCTTGAATCAGGACAAGTGAGAGAGAGAGAGAGAGAGAGAGAGAGGTACCTCCAGGGAAAAATAGAATCTTCTTGGGCAGAGAGCTCTTTAGGTTTGCTTTAGAGAAGTTTGTTTGGTCTAATCTTTTTTCCTGCCTGTGCCCACCCCATATCAGTGAATAATGAATATCCCCAGGTCACTTATTCATGAATATCTCCCCTGGAGATGAACAGTGATAATCTCACCAGCCTGTCCAATTGGTGAGTTTGTTTCGATGAGTCACGCTCAGAGAGGAGTAAAAGTATTTGCTAATGGCTCATGTTCTTTCCATGCATTGTCTGCAATTCCATAGCAACCCAGACTTGCTGTGAAGCACACAAGAAAGCCAGGCTGGGTTGCTGCAGCCTGTGTGCCCTGAGCCAAGGTTCTACAGTGTCTCTTTCCAGTCCCCAAGCACGGATTCCCTGGCTGTCCCAGGGACAATGCGGCATTAACACAACGGGGGATCAGTCTCTGCGCAAAAAGTTCCAATATGAGGAAGAAGAGGCTCACAACTGGTATGTAAAGCTCTTCCAACAGGGCAAAGGGGCAGTAACCACTTAGGGCTGTGTCTCGGGCTATGGGGATGATGACTCCAAGGGGGGAGATTTAAATTATATCCTTGAAATTCATACAGCAAAATTCTTCAGTCCTGAGAATGAAAGACCATGAACACTTCCTTTATATGCATCCCAAAGAAGGGAAGCTATATCTCAAGTGGGTGAGACTTGGAGCATATCTGTTTCACCTGGGAACGTTTCCTGTGTTGCCTGTTCTCATGATTTTATCATGAGTCGCACAATATCTAGTGTGTTTAGCCCCAGCTTCTGGAGTCATGGAATTACATGGGAATCAGCTTTCTTTATAAAAAGAGCAAGTTTTTTTGTCTTCATGATTTCAGTGTAAAATGTGATTTCAACTGGAAAATGTGAACTGAGTGCACCATAAAGGCTCAAAAACCAAATACCCCCAATATATGATTTTTCAAAAAAAAATCTCATATTTAAAATAATCTCATGATTTTGAGATCTGATTCATGATTTTTAAATGCTTGGGGTTGACAATACATTTGACATTTCCTTAGAGTTTGTTTTATTTCCTCGAATCAGGTTATTTTATTTCAGAAAACCCAGGAAATTAGTAGAGTCCCATCACTTATTTAATTTTTCAGAGCAATCTCTAAATAATGTGTGCAGTCAAACTGATCTCAACAAGCATAAATGGAAATGTGTTGGATGAATAACAAGTAGTATTTTATACCTGTGTTTCAGAGCCTCCAGATATAACAGAAGATGCATTTGTAAGTAAACTTTAAAAGGACCGATAATTTTTTTTCGTTTTGGGACTACAGAGAAAATAGCAGGTCATGGAAAACTGCTCTATGGTTTCTTATTTCTTCCATTGTAGTAGCTGAGCATTGACATGTTTTTCCCAGCAGGAATACTGCTACTTCTGACAATGTTTCTTTAAAAGAATGGTTCTCATTGTTTCATTTGATTAAGAAAAAAATGCTGCAGTGTTAGAAAAAGTGAAACAGAAATTTAAAGGGAATAAGCTTGCAAAGAAAAGCACAATGGTAGAGGAAGGAAGGAAGAAAATAGTTAATTGGAAGGTCCAATCTGATATATTCTACAGATGCATTTTTCTTACCATTCTGAGAGCTGATTTATCTGTTCTCTGCTTATTGCTTCATACCAAATGACACTCCTTTCCCTATTTGAATGCCTATGCAGTATGCATGTTTTTTTAAACATATTTAGTTCTATCCCTGATGGAGACCCCTAGATGCTACTCTAATATAAATAATATATATTGAAATCCAGGTTAATTTCATTTAGGAATAAACAAAAATATATATCATAACATATTAATAACCTAGCTAAACCAAAAGTTTACATTGGGTTAGGCTCTGATTCTACAATCTGCTCCATGTGGGCAGTAGACTTCAGTAGAACTCAAGTAGGTGCATGGATCCAATATACAGAATTCAGCACAGGATTGGGGTTTCTATAATCACTTTAAGGCTTTGACATTTAAAGTGAGCACTAGATTTTTGTCTGTGAGCACTTTTCATTTCAGTAGAAGCTGCATTTGATGTACTGTTCTATTGTCTTACCAAGTCTATCTGTGTTCAGATCCTCCTTGGGTATCTTATAACATCACTCTGCATCTGTGCTAGAACACTCACGGCAGTGATATGGAGAAAGCTAGCATATAGAATAGATACAGTGTCACGGGATACGTTTCCCTAGAAAATGTAAACAGCATTTTTACAGGATACCACTGACAAAATGATCATCCCTCACTGCTTTAAGACTGACAGTAATAGGACCCTTAATACCTGCATACTGTATGCAGGCAAAATTCCCAGTTACTTTAATAAGTTTTGCCTGCATAAGCACTGGAAGTTCAAGCCATTTGTAGTTCATCCAGATTGCCTATTGGAATAATGAGAATGCTTTTAATAATTATAACTTGGATTGTACACCACAGAGCACATCAGGGAAAGAATTAAAAGAAAATGCCACAAACATCTAAAAAATTTTTGTATATAAAATTATATGGACTCTAATAGGCAAATGAGTGTGTAAACATTATTTTGAAATGAGAATAAGACTGGTTGCTGAAATAGAAGTCCTATAGGAGAGTTTTATTGTTTTTTCATATTCTTTAAAAAACTTGCAGATAGGTGCAATAAGTAGCAAAGCTTGCGTTAACAGCGTAGTAAAAGTTTTATGGATTAATGACACCATTTGTTTATATTTCTTGCTGCTATATAAGACTTTAAAGAACATATTCCTGGCAAATAAAAAACATGTGTACCTGTATATTTTCATAGGACTTCTAATTCAGTGCGTAATAAATATTTTGTTTCAAATAATTCACGTAGATGAAAGAAGTATTTACACTACATGTTATTGTATCTAATCATCATCATCAAACTAGTCTTTACCCATTTCAAATCTAATGATGTATTACTTACGCACAGCAAATGTGAAATATAGACACTTTTTATACATGCACAACCTGTTTCTAACAAAACTTTTCACATAAATAGGGCTCAATCCAATGTCCATTGAAGTAAATGGGAGTCTTTCACTAATTTAATTGGGCACTAGATCAGGCCCTTATGCCTTGATTCAGGAGAGATCTTAAGCATATGTTTATTTAAAGCATGTGCTTCCCATTGTCTTCAAGTTAAGCACATGCTTAAGTGTTTTGCTGAACTGGGGCCTAAGACCCTGGTTCAAAGCTTATTGAAATCAATGGGAGTCTTTCCACTGACTTCAGTGTGCTTTGGATCAGACCCTTTGATCCAAATTCTCCTGTTTAATGCTTAGTCCAAATATATTTGCCCTTCCCCTTCCATGCCTCTCCCAGTTCCTGAGTGCAGGTACACAGGAAGCCACTGTGTAGCTGAGCTTAACACGGTAGTGCTGGGAATGTTCATGCCCTACATGCCCCATCAAATGCTGTCCCCCATGTGTGTAGTTGCACTTAATCACCATGGAGGAAGTGTCAGGATTTGCCTTCTTAAAAACTTTAACAGCGCCAATAGATAGATTTAGACTACAGACAGTTTTTATGCACAGAAATAATAAAGTGTTTGAGAAACTGTATGCAGTGTTGTAAAAGCTGTGTCAAACCCAGGATATTAGAGAGACAAGGTGGATGAGGTAATATCTTTTATTGGACTGACTTCTTTTGGTGAGAGAGACACGCTTTTGAGCTACACAGAACTCTTCTTCAGGTCTGGGAAAAATACTCAGGGTCACAGCTGAATACAAGATTGAATGGATAATTTAACATGAATAGCACATATTCTAAGGGACCATTCAAGGTGAAGTGGTGCATTCACAACCTTGCAGTCCTAGGACAAAAAGTGAGTTACAGATTGTTGTAATAAACCATAAATCTAGTGTCTTCATTAAGATCATCATTTTTAGTCTCTAGCAAAGTTATGAATTTAAGCTCCCAGGCTTGTCTTTTGAAAGTATTGTGCAGGTTTCCTTTGAGGATGAGGACTAATAATAGATCAGCTATAGAGTGATCATTTTGTGAAAAGTAAAGGAGTACTTGTGGCACCTTAGAGACTAACAAGTGTATTTGAGCATAAGCGTTTGTGAGCTACAGCTCACTTCATTGGATGCATTCAGTGGAAAATACAATGGGGAGATTTATATACATAGAGAACATGAAACAATGGGTGTTACCATACACACTGTAATGAGAGTGATCACTTAAGGCGAGCTATTACCAGCAGGAGAGCGGGGGGGAGAGTGGGACCTTTTGTAGTGATAATCAAGGTGGGCCATTTCCAGCAGTTGACAAGAACATCTGAGGAACAGTGGGGAGTGGATGGGGGGAATAAACATGGGGAAATAGTTTTGCTTTGTGTAATGACCTATCCACTCCCAGTCTCTATTCAAGCCTAACTTAAATTGTATCCAGTTTGCAAATTAATTCTGTTTTTGAAATTTTTTTGTTGAAGAATTGCAACTTTTAGGTCTGTAATCGAGTGACCAAAGAGATTGAAGTGTTCTCCAACTGGTTTTTGAATGTTATGATTCTTGATGTCCGATTTGTGTCCATTTATTCTTTTTACGTAGAGACTGTCCAGTTTGACCAATGTACATGGCAGAGGGGCATTGCTGGCACATGATGGCATATATCACATTGGTAGATGTGCAGGTGAATGAGCCTCTGATAGTGTGGCTGATGTGATTAGGCCAGTTGGCAACAGGCTTTGTTGCAAGGATAGGTTCCTGGGTTAGTGGTTCTGTTGTGTGGTTGCTGGTGAGTATTTGCTTCAGGTTGGGAGGCTGTCTGTAAGCAAGGACTGGCCTGTCTCCCAAGATCTGTGAGAGTGATGGGTCGTCCTTCAGGATAGGTTGTAGATCCTTGATGATGTGTTGGAGAGGTCTTAGTTGGGGGCTGAAGTTGACGTCTAGTGGCGTTCTGTTATTTTCTTTGTTGGGCCTGTCCTGTAGTAGATAACTTCTGAGTACTATTCTGGCTCTGTCAATCTGTTTCTTCGCTTCAGCAGGTGGGTATTGTAGTTGTAAGAATGTTTGCTAGAGATCTTGTAGGTGTTTGTCTCTGTCTGAGGGGTTGGAGCAAATGCGGTTGTACTGTAGAGCTTGGCTGTAGACAATGGATCGTGTGGTGTGGTCTGGATGAAAGCTGGAGGCATGTAGGTAGGCATAGCGGTCAGTAGGTTTCCGGTATAGGGTGGTGTTTATGTTGACCATCACTTATTAGCACCATAGTGTCCAGGAAGTGGATCTCTTGTGTGGACTGGTCCAGGCTGAGGTTGATGGTGGGATGGAAATTGTGGAAATCATGGTAGAATTCCTCAAGGGCTTCTTTTCCATGGGTCCGGATGATGAAGATGTCATCAATGTAGCGCAAGTAGAGCAGGGGCATTAGGGGACGAGAGCTGAGGAAGCGTTGTTCTAAGTCAGCCATAAAAATATTGGCATACTGTGGGGCCATGCAGGTACCCATAGCAGTGCCGCTGATTTGAAGGTATATATTGTCCCCAAATATGAAATAGTTATGGGTGAGGACAAAGTCACGAAGTTCAGCCACCAGGTTTGCCATGACATTATCGGGGATAGTGTTCCTGACGGCTTGTAGTCCATCTTTGTGTGGAATGTTGGTGTAGAGGGCTTCTACATCCATAGTGGCCAGGATGGTGTTTTCAGGAAGATCACTGATGGATTATAGTTTCCTCAGGAAGTCAGTGGTGTCTCGAAGATAGCTGGAAGTGCTGGTAGCGTAGGGCCTGAGGAGGGAGTCTACATAGCCAGTCAATCCTGCTGTCAGGGTGCCAATGCCAATGTGTTCACCCACAGGTGATATGGTCTTTTTCATTTTCCTGTGTGAGTTCATTTGTGAGCACAGTGATTGTCTGGTTTCATCCACATAGTTGCTATTGGGGCATTTAGTGCACTGGATGAGGTACACTGCATGTTGTGATAGGCATGTGTAGGACCCAGGGATCTTGAGAGGTATGTTGGAGGCGTGTTGATCATTATAGCAGTGGAGTTATGTCTGCAGGTTTTGCATCTGTTGTTCTGGCAGGGTCTGGTGCTGCTTTGAGTTGGTGTCCTGGTCTGTGGGGAGTTTGCTTCTGATGATGAGCCTGGAGAGGTTGAGGGGTTGCTTGAAGGCCAGAAGAGGGTGTTCAGGAACAATTTCTTTCAGGATGGGGTACCCATTGACTATGGGTTGTAGTTTTTCAAGGATATACCCTGTATGAGTTCTAGTATGTCGTGTAGTTGACAAGCTGGGGTATTGTGGCAGATTGGCCCATTAATTGACATTAAAAACTAGACAGGATTCTCTGTCATAAAGCTGACAGATTTTTAAAAAGCCAACAGAGAATACATTCTATGCTGGCTTGTTCTTTCTTCCATTGATATGAGTGGGAGTTTTGCCATTGATTTCAGAAGTTAAGATGGGGAAAATTCCAGTTTGGGCCAGGCCCTAACTATGGCATACTACTGCTTGACATGGTGTGCCAAATTCTGATCTGGTTAGCACCCTCTTATTCACCTTTGGTGGCTACCCCATTGTGGGTATCAGTTGGGGGATGGAAAAATGCTCCACAGAGCAGCTACATTCCTCTTTCCCAGGTGCAGATAGGTGGGAGGGTGTGGAACGAGTCAGGAATATGTAGGTTACTTGCATATCAATTTTTTTCAGAAGTAAATTTGCAAATTTCCCATTTTTACTAGCTTTTAGGTTTACAAGTGTTTTCTCTGTAAGTTCTTTGGCACATGGACTGTCTTTGTATGCTTTGTATGGTATTGAGCACATCAGTGGTGTACAATGAATATTAAATAACAATACAATGATACACTGAAAAGTCTACTTTTGTGCAAAAGTTCTGATCTGCTTTAAGGCAAATCATAGTATAACAGACTATAATATATACAAATACACATCAACATAATTACTGTAAACATTGTCTTGTGTTTTCATGTTCCCATAGGAAGATTATTTAGCGACAGATGATATGCTTGTGAACTACTTTAATGAATTCTTGAGTCTTCCAGTAAGTATGTTATATTAATTTCTTCCTAAATGCAAGAAAAAACTTTGTGATTAGTACTAAGGCAAACTGACTTGGAAACACATATTGTGTTTTTTAAATTAAAGTGTTCTGTTGGCTTTCCAATTCTTTTGAAGGGCTTCTATATTGGTAGCATCTAAATGTCTTAAGATGTTATCATCAGTAAAGCTTTGCCAATATCCATAAAATACAACATAGTATCTGGACTTCTTGGGATATAATTTCTCTTGCTTCAGGTCAATCTATATATGTAACTTCCAGTTCATCAAAATATTATAGATTAGAAGTGAAGAAGATATATTTAGTGCTTATGTTAAAATACCTTTGAAAATCAGGCCACTTTTATTTAGGTGCCTAATTTAAGGCATTCAGGTTTGCAAATATTAGTCCTAATTCACCTCTCTGCCATTGAGACTATGGACCAAATTCAGCAGTGGCGCATCTTCACTGATTTAATTTAGAGGTGCACCCTCCCTCCCCCATATACCATTACTGATTCTGTCTGAAAGTATATTTCCCTGATTTCAGTGGGAATTTTGCCTGGGTGAAGATGGTAGAATTGGATTCTAAAATCCAGTTTTTGATTTTTAAATAAAATTTGTAAGCATGTAAAAGAATGGCCCACGATGATGATACTGTCCTCTCACAGGAGCTCTCTCCCTATATACTGTATAGTACCTCTCACTGCAAGTTTCCTGGGAAACTCTCTCAACTATCAGAGGGGTAGCTGTGTTAGTCTGGATCTGTAAAAGCGGCAGAGTCCTGTGGCACCTTATAGACTAACAGACGTATTGGAGCATAAGCTTTCGTGGGTGAATACCCACTTTGTCGGATGCATGTAGTGGAAATTTCCAGAGGCAGGTATAAATATGCAAGCAAGAATCAGGCTTGGGATAACAAGGTTAGTTCAATCAGGGAGGATGAGGCCCTCTTCTAGCAGTCGAGGTGTGAACACCAAGGGAGGAGAAACTGCTTTTGTAGCTGGCTAGCCAGTCACAGTCTTTGTTTAATCCTGAGCTGATGGTGTCAAATTTGCATATGAACTGAAGCTCAGCAGTTTCTCTTTGAAGTCTGGTCCTGAAGTTTTTTTGCTGCAGGATGGCTACCTTTAAATCTGCTCATGTGTGTCCAGGGAGGTTGAAGTGTTTTTGTATATTGCCATTCCTAATATCTGATTTGTGTCCATTTATCCTTTTACATAGGGGCTGTCCAGTTGGGCCAATGTACATAGCAGAAGGGGACTGCTGGCACATGATGGCTTATATTGGAGGATGTGCAGGTGAATGAACCGGTGATGGTGTGGCTGATCTGGTGAGGCCTGTGATGGTGTTGCTGGTGTAGATATGTGGGCAGAGCTGGCATCGAGGTTTGTTGCATGGATTGGTTCCTGAGTTAGAGTTACTTTGGTGCGGTGTGTAGCTGCTGGTGAGAATATGCTTCAGGTTGGCGGGTTGTCTGTGGGCGAGGACTGGCCTGCCTCCCAAGGCCTGTGAAAGTGAGGGATGGTTGTCCAGGATGGGTTGTAGATCACTGATGATGAATTGGAGATGTTTTAGCTGAGGACTGTATGTGATGGCCAGTGGACTTCTGTTGGTTTCTTTCTTGGGCTTGTCTTGCAGCAGGCGGCTTCTGGGTACACCTCTGGCTCTGTTGATCTGTTTCCTTATTTCCTCATGTGGGTATCGTAGTTTTGAGAACGCTTGGTGAAGATCTTGTAGGTGTTGGTCTCTGTCTGAGGGGTTTGAGCAAATGCGGTTGGACCTCAGCACTTGGCTGTAGACAATGGATCGTGTGGTGTGTCCGGGGTGGAAGCTGGAGGCATGAAGGTAGGCATAGCGGTCAGTGGGTTTTTGGCATAGGGTGGTGTTAACGTGACCATGACTTATTTGTACCGTGGTGTCTAGGAAGTGGACCTCCTGGGTAGATTGGTCCAGGTTGAGGTTGATGGTGGGTGGAAGCTATTGAAATCGTGGTGCAATTCTTCCAGGGTTTCCTTCCCATGGGTCCAGATGATGAGGATGTCATCAATGTAGCATAGGTAGAGAAGGGGCGTGAGTGGACGCGAGCTGAGGAAGCATTGTTCCAGGTCAGCCATAAAAATGTTGGCATATTGTGGGGCCATGCGGGTGCCCATAGCGGTGCCACTGGTCTGGAGGTACATATTGTCACCAAATTTGAAATAATTGTGCGTGAGGATAAAGTCACAGAGCTCAGCAACCAGTTGTGCTGTGGCATCACCAGGGATACTGTTCCTGACAGCTTGTATTCCATCTGTGTGTGGGATGTTTGTGTAGAGAGCCTCTACATCCATGGTGGCTAGGATGGTGTTTTCTGGAGGATCACCAATGCATTGTTGTTTTCTCAGGAAATCAGTGGTGTCACAGAGATAGCTGGGAGTGCTGGTGGCGTAGGGTCTGAGTAGAGAGTCCACATATCTGGACAGTCCTTCAGTGAGAGTGCCAATGCCCGAGATGATGGGGCATCCAGGATTTCCAGGTTTGTGGATCTTGGGTAGTAGATAGAATAACCCCGGTCGGGGCTCTAAGGGTACGTTGATTTGTTCCTGTGTTAGTGTAGGGAGTGTCCGGAGTAGATGGTGCAGTTTCTTAGTGTATTCCTCAGTGGGATCTGAGGAAAGTGGCCTGTAGAATTTGGTATTGGAGAGTTGTCTGGCAGCCTCCTTTTGGTAGTCATGTTCATGATGACAACAGCACCTCCTTTATCAGCCTCTTTGATTATAATGTCAGGGTTGTTTCTGAGGCTTTGGGTGGCATTGCGTTCTGCATGACTTAGGTTATGAGGCAAGCGATGTTGTTTTTCCACAATTTCTGCCTGTGTATGTCGGCGGAAGCATCCTATGTATAGGTCCAGAATGTCATTTCGACCCTCAGGAGGAGTCCATGTGGAGTCCTTCTTCTTGTGCTGTTGGTGTGGTGTATCAGTGTGCTGTTCAGTGTTATCTTGAAAGTATTCTTTGAGTTGGAGATGGTGAAAGTAGGCTTCCAGCTCACCGCAGAGCTGTATCATGTTTGTGGGGCTGGTGGGGCAGAAAGAGAGTCCCCGAGATAGGACTCTAGCCTCACTAGATAGCCTCACCTCAGTCCCTGGAAAAATCATGGAGCAGGTCCTCAAAGAATCAATCCTGAAGCACTTGCATGAGAGGAAAGTGATCAGGAACAGCCAGCATGGATTCACCAAGGGAAGGTCATGCCTGACTAATCTAATCGCCTTTTATGATGAGATTACTGGTTCTGTGGATGAAGGGAAAGCAGTGGATGTATTGTTTCTTGACTTTAGCAAAGCTTTTGACACGGTCTCCCACAGTATTCTTGTCAGCAAGTTAAGGAAGTATGGGCTGGAAGAATGCACTATAAGGTGGGTAGAAAGCTGGCTAGATTGTCGGGCTCAACGGGTAGTTATCAATGGCTCCATGTCTAGTTGGCAGCCGGTATCAAGTGGAGTGCCCCAAGGGTCGGTCCTGGGGCCGGTTTTGTTCAATATCTTCATAAATGATCTGGAGGATGGTGTGGATTGCACTCTCAAGCAAATTTGCGGATGATACTAAACTGGGAGGAGTGGTAGATACGCTGGAGGGCAGGAATAGGATACAGAGGGCCCTAGACAAATTGGAGGATTGGGCCAAAAGAAATCTGATGAGGTTCAATAAGGATAAGTGCAGGGTCCTGCACTTAGGACGGAAGAACCCAATGCACAGCTACAGACTAGGGACCGAATGGCTAGGCAGCAGTTCCGCGGAAAAGGACCTAGGGGTGACAGTGGACGAGAAGCTGGATATGAGTCAGCAGTGTGCCCTTGTTGCCAAGAAGGCCAATGGCATTTTGGGATATATAAGTAGGGGCATAGCGAGCAGATCGAGGGACGTGATCGTCCCCCTCTATTCGACATTGGTGAGGCCTCATCTGGAGTACTGTGTCCAGTTTTGGGCCCCACACTACAAGAAGGATGTGGATAAATTGGAAAGAGTCCAGCGAAGGGCAACAAAAATGATTAGGGGTCTGGAACACATGACTTATGAGGAGAGGCTGAGGGAACTGGGATTGTTTAGCCTGCAGAAGAGAAGAATGAGGGGGGATTTGATAGCTGCTTTCAACTACCTGAGAGGTGGTTCCAGAGAGGATGGTTCTAGACTATTCTCAGTGGTAGAAGAGGACAGGACAAGGAGTAATGGTCTCAAGTTGCAGTGGGGGAGGTTTAGGTTGGATATTAGGAAAAACTTTTTCACTAGGAGGGTGGTGAAACACTGGAATGCGTTGCCTAGGGAGGTAGTGGAATCTCCTTCCTTAGAAGTTTTTAAGGTCAGACTTGACAAAGCCCTGGCTGGGATGATTTAATTGGGGATTGGTCCTGCTTTTGAGCAGGGGGTTGGACTAGATGACCTCCTGAGGTCCCTTCCAACCCTGATATTCTATATGGACCTGGGCACCGTGAACTATACATTCGTCACCTCCAGGAATGTAGTTTACCAGAGCATGACAGTTAAAGACACAAGATAGATACATCTGCTTCAGTGTATACAGACCCATCTACTCAGTAACACAGCTGAATGGAAACACATTTCTCCTGCACGCTTCAAGCCACACTGGCTTCCCATTGCATTCCAAATTCCTTTTAAAGTCCCTTTCAAAGCATTCAGTGAGTTGGGTTCTGGTTATCTAAGGAACTGTCCTTTATTTTTGTGACTTACCACAATATCTGCATTAATCAGGGATGCTGGAGCTGACAGTACCCAGCTTAAAACTCACAGGGAGTAGGCATTCTTGGTGGCATGCCCTTGGCTGTGGAATTCCCTTACAGCAGAAATCAGGATGATAATGGATTTTACCAACTTCAAATTTTAAGACCTACTTCTTTTCAAAAGCCTTTCCACTATAAAATCCCTAAAGAATGGACAATGTTACTTCTCTGGAGATAAAAACATTTCAACACTTCTCTGGTATTAAAAATAGATATATTTTCCTCTCTCTTGTGTGCACACAAACACACACAGACACATTAATGGTGTAATGTGGAGAGGAAGATGAATATAGTCCTGCAGATTGTTACTTTGTTAAATGGTTTTATTGGCACCCAGGTACGATGGTGATGGCTGCAGAAGAAATACCTAAACACACAGTCTAGCTAGGGATCTGGAATCTTTATGCAGGCAAAACTTCCATGGGACGTAAAGAAGGACTGAGTAAAGAAGGACTCTAGGATTTAGCCTATTGAAATTATCCTGAAAATAAATTAAACAAAAGAAATAAAATAACGTTTAGGCTAATTGCACTTTCAGAAAATAGACACTATGGGCCTGATTGCCCTCTTACTTATACCAGTTTAAATCAGGAGAACAGTGGTTTAAAACTGGTGTTACTAGAGCAAAATCAGACTGTGGATGGGTGGGAGAGAGCAAGTCAGATAGCTGAAAAAAGTTAAGAGTATTCCTCATCTTTAAGACAACTCTAAACCTCTTCGGAAACACCATATCATGGTCAGTAGGTCCCCATAATTTCCAGGCTGCACTGAGGAAATTTGCATGTGACTTGGCACCACTACAACCTGTCTCCAAGTGGCTTTTTCACCACTGAGTCCTTGCACCCTAGGTTATGTTGCCAGAAACTGGCCTAACCCAGGACTAAATCTAAATGAAAGCCTTCGAGAAGTAATCTAGACCAGTTTTTCTCAAACTGGGTTCCATGGACCCCTAGGGGGTCCACGAAGGTACTCCAGGGGGTCTGTGGCCCCTGCTGATCAACCCCTTCCTCTCCCTCAACTCCCCCCCTTCCCTCCTAGTGCCTCCTGCATGCCAGGGAACAACTGTTCCCCTGCATTTAGGAGGCATTGGGAGGGAGAGGGAGGAGCGGGGATAGGGCAGAATCATGTCCAATGCTGGTGGCCCCGCTGATCAACTCCTCCCCAAACTCTTCCCCCTCCCTCCCAGTATCTCCTGCACACAGGGGAACAGCTCTTCTCTGGCATGTAGGAGGGGGAGGGGTGGAGCGGGGGCAGGAAGAGTTGGGGTTAGGCCTTGGGGGAAGGGGTGTAGTGGGAGTAGGGCCTGGGGCTGAGTGGGGAGGCTTGGGGGTCCGCGAAAATTTTTTTAAATCAAAATGGGGGTCCTTGGGTTGCGAAAGAACCACTGATCTAGATCATCAAAAGAAGTCGTCCTTATTTCTCTCCTTACTGACACTAGATTGACTGATTGACAAAAAGCTCATTTCTTCTCCATTAATTAGATCTTTACCAATTGCCTGTGATTTGCTCCTTATTCAGCATTGGGAGTGAAATCCTGGGCCCACTGAAGTCAGTGGGAGTTTTGCCATTGACTTATCTTCACCTAGGATTTCACCCTGGATTCCTAAAGCTGCTTAATCACTTGTACTGGTTTGGACTTTCATTGACATTTATGTAGAGTACACATCTTAAGGGAGTTTTGGCAAAGTCAAAAAGATATTGTATGATTTATTAGGACTTTGTTCATTTTCTGCCTGTTCAGATTCTGATCCTAAGAGATGCTGAGCTGTTGTCACTCATTTTCTCTTGGGTTTAGGTTATGAGACTGTGGGTGGGGTTTGGTGAGCAAAGTTACACATTAGGAACCTCAGCTGAAGTTAAATATTTTTGGCAGCTGTAAAAGCTGAGGCCATAAAGATGGATAAATCTGATGTTTTGGGCATATGGTGATGGATGCTGTTTTGGGAGGAATAAAGGACAGTACAACACAATCAGTACAATTAATTATAAGACTTTACAACTCAGAACTGTGCATTCAGTTTGTTCTTCAGCCAAGAGCATATTCAGCTAGTCTGTTTGCATCCGATATCTGAGAGGTTTATTTGCTTTCGACTGTTTGCGTATGATTGTTTGTTTATTAAAATTTCTCATAAACAGCAATATGAAAACAGCTTTTTTTGTTTTTGTTTTTTTGGCTTAGTGACTTTTGTGAAACTGAGTTGATGTCCCACATACTGGATGCTTAGAATACGGCTGACATAACTTTCAGAAGCAGGAGGGGGTGTTTTGCCACCAGGCCAAACCAAGTTGATTTTTGCCTTTCAGATTTGATCATAATATTCTTGGGGGTCCTGGATTTACTGCATATTTTATCATGGATATAAAACTATTATCATCATAACAACAAGAAATGTTTATTGTATTTTTCTTAAGCAGTGATGTAAATGCTTCCTTCCCCCATCAACGTTTTAACTGTTCTAAGGGTATTTCTGTTTGAGGTGCTGATGATATTCTCTATCTGGTAGAGTTTTAGCTTGTGTATATGTGTGCACATACTAAGCCTGGTGAGAGAAAACTACATCTTTGATGCTGTTTTGGTCTCATACACATTATTTGAAGTCTTACTTCTTTCATTTCATTAGTGTATATGTCTTATAAATGATTTGTTGTCAAACATCCAAAATGACAATACAATTTATATTTAAAAAGTTCTCATTGGCATCTGTTTCACTACATTAATGTTGCCAGATGTTTTCTGTTCAGTTAATTAGAATGTACAATGAAAAATCCAGCATACGAATCAAATGCTAGAGATTGAGTAAAAGTAGATTTGAGTGATAAATTAATGTTGTCCTTGGTTAGTTTTCAATTTAAATACCATAGAACTAAAATAATCCGGTGATGTCTACTCAAATAGTTCCAGATTATGGAATTTCTATGCCTCGTTTGCATTTTTCTGCAAGGGAGAACACATCAAAGCTTGGGAAATTTTGATTTTTTTTCTCTCCCCCTCGCCCTCTTTTTAAAAATAATAGGAAATGAAATAATAAAAAATATGTTCGGTCAGTATTAGCTTACACAATCACTCAAAAATCAGAAAATGCCAAAGTTAAGGTGAAATATATAAGAAATTTGCAGATATTAAGTTGGGGGGAGTTCTGGACACAGAGAGAGACAATACAAAACAACAAGAACAACAGAACCATTTTAAAATGCAGGCTTATAAATCTGGAGAAAAATAATTGAAACCACAAAGAAACCTTCAAAATAACAATGTCAAAAGAGATTCAGGGGTGAACAGAACATTACATGTGCCTTTGTAGAGTGATATGGCTGTGAAATATGCCAATGCAATTCTGGACAGCATGGTCCTGACTCAATAAAGTCTATAAGCACATGCTTAACTTTAAGCATGTGAATGGTTCTATTGACATCATGGAGACTACTCACATGCTTGAAGTTAGGCATGTGTTTAAATGCTTTGCTGTATCAGGGCCTATACGTAGAAGCATTACGTGATGTGAAAGGAATATAATGGACCATTTCTATGGTTCTGCTGTAGCCTAAGATATTGTGTTCAGATCTGGGCACCTCGTTACCAGAAAGACATTGACAATTTGGAAGGACTTCAACATGGTTACTTTGGATTTAAACCGGTGTAACAGAGAACAGAATCTGGCCTACAGTATGCATTCTCATAAAAAAGCAAGAAGCTCAATGAAATGAAAAATATGCCAAATGAAAGAAAATAATTGTATTTTCCAATATAGGTAAACACCAATTTTACAAACTCTGAGTGAAATCCTGACCCTATTGTATGAAGCTGAAGGGAGTTTTGCCAATGAATGGAATATGACCAGGATTTCACCTTCTAATTTTTATGAAATTCTTCTTAATTTAAAATGTTGGTTGTCCTCCAGTTTGATAGTGGGCTATTTGTATGTTCTGTTTTTAAAGAACCTCAATTTCACAATTTTTTTGGGCATTCTCCAAGATTTTTGACCAGATCTATCTGTAATTTTCCCCATCATTTCTGCTGAATGTAAAAATTGAAAGGTAGGATTAGTTTGGGTTTATAGCAAAAATGGGAGTGGAAAATCTGGTAACCACAACACTCAAACTAATGATTACCAAACTCTGCTTTTGGGTATTTTTGCTTTTGCTCAGACAGCCCCCATTGGAGCTGACAAAAGTTGCACATGAATATCTAAAAGTGGGATTTGGCCCATCCTATATACTACACAGTACCTGATTGAATTGGCAGTATATGGTAAATTTCTTGGATTTGACTTTTGGTAGGCTGTTGACCTACTATATCTAAATACGAGGCATAAGCCTTTACTATATATGCCCAACACTCAGAATGATCCACCCACCAAAATAGTAGAACAAGAAGCTTCACTGGATATGGGATTCAATAATTTATGATATAAACAGGGAAGTAGGGACCTGATCCTGAGCTGCTTGCAGAACTGTCATTGAAGACAATGGGAGTTATGTGTGTGAGCAAGCACTTCCTGTATTGGAGGCCTATATTTGCATGGGAAGAAGGTGAATTAGTGTCTGAAATGAGTGACATCGTTTGTAATTAGATATAGTTGAGAGCTGTGGTAATAATTTATTGGAAAACCCTATAATGAGTAGGAAAAGTGGCAAGCATGCAGATTTACTATTGCAGTCCCTAGCAAAAGCCATGGAACGAAGAAGGAAAATGTCTAATGATGCTATCTTGCATTCTGTAGGGTGCTTCCCTACTGCAGAAACAGGAATTTTTATATGAAAGGTTTCTCTTATTACAACTTCTTTTGCAGACCTTTGCAGAGCCAGTTAAGTTTAACCCTGATTTTGACGTTTTTGAAGTAGTTAATGATACCCCACAATGTCTGGAAAACCAGCTGAAAAAAATTCTTCATGATCAGAAACCTCCCAGTCCCATTTATGATGTTACAAGGAAGGCAAAGAACGATGGGCAGCTTTCCAAAAAGAGCAGCATTTTTCCAGTCTTCAGTGTTGACCCAAATTACAGTATTATGGTAAGCTTGTTACGTCCAGTGACTTTATATTTAAATCCAATTATATTGATACTGACAGCAGTTACTGTTGTGTTTGGCTTGTTATCTTGGGAAAAATGTTAGATTGTGTGTTAGGAAAACAGTACGATGGCCCAAATTATGTCTTGCGACGCATATAGGTCTTCCGTTCAAGTGAATTGAACTACACATGTGCATCCTGTAAAGTAGAATTTGTTTTGGTGGTCTGAATGCTCACTAATATTAAGACAAAAGTTAGACCACATCTATACTGGGAGCACTTTATCAGTATAGGAATAACACAGTAGAATCATAGAATATCAGGGTTGGAAGGGACCTCAGGAGGCATCTAGTCCAACCCCCTGCTCAAAGCAGGACCAATCCCCAACAGTACTTGTCAGTACTCTACTGACAAGGCATTCCTAGTACAGATGCAGCTATACTGCCAAAGAGGATAGAAAGAAAATAACATTCAGTATACTGGGAAACTTGGTTTATTCCCATTGTTGCTTATATTGTACTGGAGTAAATTATGTGACTCTAGTTTCTTTCATTCAAGGCTATTCTAATTAGGGCTGTCAATTAATTGCAGTTAACTCAAGTGATTAATGCAAAAAAATTAACTGCAATTAAAAAAATTAATTGTGATTAATCATACTGTTAAACAATAGAATACCAATTGAAATGTATTAAATATTTGTGGATATTTTTCTACATTTTCAAATATAATGGTTTTTAATACAACACAGAATACAAAGTGTACAGTGCTCACTTATTTATTACAAATATCTGCACTGTAAAATTGATAAAAGAAATAGTATTTTTCAATTCACCTCATACAAGTACTATAGTGCAATCTCTTTATCGTGAAAGTGCAACTTAGAAATGTAGATTTTTTTTGTTACATAACTGTACTCAAAAAAAAAAAACATGTAAAACTTTAGAGCCTACAAATCCACTCAGTCCTACTTCTTGTTCAGCCAATTGATAAGACAAACAAGTTTGTTTACATTTACGGGAGACACCACTGACTGCTTCTTATTTACAGTGTCACCTGAAAGTGAGAACAGGCATTCGCATGGCACTTTTGTATACGGCCTTGCAAGGTATTTACGTGTCAGATATGCTAAACATTCATATGCCTCTTCATGCTTTGGCCACCATTCCAAAGGACATGCTTCCATGCTGATGAGGCTCGTTAAAAAAACAATGCGTTAATTAAATTTGTGATTGAACTGCTTGGGGGAGACCTGTATGTCTCCGGTTCTGTTTTACCCGCATTCTGCCATATAGCAGTCTCGGATGATGACCTAGCACATGTCTGTTTTAAGAACACTTTCACAGCACATTTAACAAAACGCAAATTAGGTACCGATGTGAGATTTCTAAGGATAGCTACAGCACTTGACCCAAGGTTTAACAATCTGAAGTGCCTTCCAAAATCTTAGAGGGACGAGGTGTGGAGCATGCTTTCAGATGTCTTAATAGAAGCAACACTCTGATGCGGAAACTACAGAATCCGAAACACCAAAAAAGAAAATCAACCTTCTGCTGGTGGCATCTGACTCAGATGATGAAAATGAACATGCGTCGGTCCACTTTGCTTTGGATCATTATCAAGCAGAACCCATCATGAACATGGACACATGTCTTGTGGAATGGTGGTTGAAGCATGAAGGGACATATGAATCTTTATAGTGCATCTGGCACGTAAATATCTTGTGACGCCGGCTACAACAGTGCCATGCAAATGCCTGTTTTCACTTTCAGATTACATTGCAAAAAAGACATGGGCAGCATTTTGTCCAGCAAATTGTAACTAAACTTGTTTCTCTGAGCGACTGGCTGAAGTAGGACTGAGTGGACTTGTAGGTTCTAAAGTTCTTCATTGTTTTATTTTCAAATGCAGTTATTTTTTGTACATAATTCTACACTTGTAAGTTCAACTTTCATTATAAAGAGATTGCACTACAGTACTTTTATTAGGTGAATTGAAATATGCTATTTCTTTTGTTTTTTACAGTGCAAATATTTGTAATCAAAAATATAAAATGAGCACTGCACACTTTCATTCTGTGTTGTAATTGAAATCAATATATTTGAAAATGTAGAAAAGATCCAAAACTATTTAAATAAATGGTATTCTATTATTGTTTAACAGTGCGATTAATCGCCATCAATTTTTTAAATTGCGCTATTAATTTTTTTAATCGCTTGACAGCCCTAGTTCTAATGCCTTGTCAAAATTAGGAATGAGGCTGCTCTATCTTATGCCAGGGCTGGAGGCCAGTTACAGAATCAGAGAGCTCTAACTGGCTGCCTCTCTGTTTTGCTGAGCATAAGCTTGGTGAAGCAGAGATTCTGGCTCACAACAGAATAAGAAAAATCTATGCAGTACTGCAATATTTGGCGGCAAACTAAACAGGAAAGAGAATAGGCTGAAGAGATGGGGCAGTAGCACTATATCAGCCTCCAGATAAGAAAACAAAATTAATGCACAATGTTGAGAGAGGTCAAAGAGGCAGCAAAATCTAACAAAAGTATAGTATTGATGGCCTTCAACTGCCCACGTATACACAAGTCCAATGGGACAAAGTTTGAGAAACAATTTCTTGACATTGTAAGTGACTGCTTCTTGGAACAGCAAGTTGTAGAGCACACGAGAAGTGAAGCTGTTCTTGACTTAGTAGTAAGTAACCCACAGGAGCAAATTCAAGAAGTGACGGTATCTGAGTCACTAAGTAATAGTCACCACAGTATAAGCAGGTTCAACATCCAAGGTCCAGATAAGGTACCAAAAATGGTTATGAACCACTGCTCTAGGTCAAATTCAGCCTTGAAATAATCAAGTACGTTGATTTCAGTGGTGTTGCATAGAGGGTATATGTTCCTTCCTAAGATCAGCAGGGTTTTTGCTGTGTTTCTCTGAATATCCTGCCTCTTTTTCACCACCACTAATGCCTCTCACATAGGTTGGGGCAGGGGGACAGTGGTGCATTGTTTCTAAGAATAATTGACCCTCCAGGGGATTTTTCACATAAGGGAAATATTGTGACCTTTATAAAGAAAAATATTCTTCAGGGCATTCCTGACACTTTTTTTTTTGGTCATGTTGCACCTCTGTTCTGCCTTCTGGCATCCTGGGTGGGTGACTTGTATGCCCCCTCAGCTTTCGTGTGATACCTATGACTGACAGGTATGAATTCAGAAGCTGCTGGGGCATACCAGCATGCGAAAAATCAGTACAGCAGCTACACAAAGTGAAAGAAATCAGCCACAGCTGTTGTATCCTGCCAACAGCGATAATACATCTTGTGTTCTTTTTCTCAGTCCTCGTCTCTCTCTCAGCCTGTTTGGACTTTTAAACAGGAAAAGGGTACATGTGTTGGTTTATTACAGATGTGGGGTATGTATGAATTGATCTGAGGTCAGTCAAGAATCAATTGGGGGTGAAATGTATGAAGGAAAGGCATATGCAGTAATGGGAAGAACTATTAACAAATAGAGAAGGAAACTGGTAGAGGTTCTGCATATCTTTCTTCACATAGCAAAGCACTTAAATAAGACCTGAGCAGTCTATGAGACCATCCACATGCCTAAAATTAAACACATGCTTCAAAACTATGCTGGATTGGGTCCCGCAATGCCTAAAGCTGGCCCTAGTTACAAAATCTACTGTATTAAGTTTAGAACTTTTTCTTAGAACACTTTCCTTCAGACGATAAATATAATTTTGCATATTATCCACACACGTTACAAATAACTCAAAACACCAGGATTTGATTCAACTGGTACCCTAAATGTTAGATATTTTTCTTACATCCAGAGAGATTGGCCAAAATAAAGAGACAACCTTTTGCATTTCCAAAAACCTTATCAGTTACCAAAAAGAGGCATACACTGTAGGGATGAGAATAATTATTCTTCATCTCCACAAAGGATATGACCCACAGCCAACATAAGCCTTCCACATTTTGATATATTTTCTTTTATTTAAAAGAAACCACCTACATTTCAAAGTAGTTTAGATATTTTAAATCCCCTGGGGATATTTATGGAGCAGAAATAACCCTTGTCCCTTATGAAATATTAGATCACAGAAAGATAATTCAGGACCTAGCCAGTACTGATTAATTGATGTAGCAAAGTGCTAAATAGCCATAATTTTGTCCCTGCTGTGGCAAAATACCTTGTTTGCCTCAGTCCTTTTTAGCCTTGGAGACTCAGGTTTGGCGCAAGGCGAATCCTTATAGGTGGCACAGGGTCCTGCTACTCCTCTCCTCAGTCAGTCCCTTGTGCATGTTTTACTTCCCCTCTGGGGAGTGAGTACAGCCTCCCTACTGGGAAGATCTGGTGTCTTGCTGCAAACAGCCTACTGACAGCTTCCCTACTCCCTCACTCTCCCCCACCTACCACCCAGGGGAGGGTTTAAAAAAGGTCCCAAGTAGTTGGAGTCAGCTGAACCTAATTGGTTCCCTAGCAACCCCTTTTCCAGCTGAACCTTATTGCTCCTTCATTCTCTCTCCTCAGTGGATAGGGAGGGGCCTTTTAATCCCCTGGGACTAATTACTACCTCCCTTTTGTAGCTGTTTGTCCTGGGTTTACCACACTGCCTATATTATACCTATGGACAAGCTGAGGATTTCATTCTTCCAGGCCATCAATGTCACTAACAATCAAGTCACTAAAATAAAATCTAGGAACAGAGAAATACACTTGAGAGAAGTGAAAAAGCTAAACTAAAGTTGTCAAAGGTGCCAGATTTTAGGCTTATTTCTTATTAGCCAATAGAGAGATACTATGGGACTACTTCTCGTCTCACCTATGCTGGTGTAAATGAGCAATAATTCCACTGATGTCAGTTTCAGAGTAGCAAGTGAGCTGTACCTCAGGAAAGCTTATGCTCAAATAAATTTGTTAGTCTCTAAGGTGCCACAAGTACTCCTTTTCTTTTTATTGATGTCAGTATATAACTGCTTATTATGTTCATGGCATACACACAGAAAAATTAGATAAAAACATAGATACTCTTGCTGGAAGATTGCAATGTAACAGTACTTTATTTCTTAGAATTCAAAACTATAACACTCAAGAACCTACAGGCTGCTCCCTAAGGCAGAGAGGCACAATTCATCCAACTTTGCTTTAAGATGGATCTTTCCAGACTGATGTGGATTGCATACTTTGTTACAGAGCTCCTTAGCCTGCTAACAGGACCAGGAACCAGCCCCTACCCCTCACACACACTTAAAGTGATACCTTTCAATTCTAACACTGTCCTCAATACACCATATGGGTGTAGGTGAAAACGGTTGTTTTTTTTTTAAATATCCACAGTCCTCCTGCTTTAGCGCTCTTGTTAAGACCACTTGAAAGTTTCCTCAGCCCTCAAAATATTGACGAAAACACTAACTGTGGTTATTTTTAAAACAAGTATCGTCCCCAAAGTTACCCGTTTCACATTGCAGATGATTTGTGGGCAGCTGGTACTCTGATTTGCATTCCTCTGTCACTTGCACTAGTTTTGAACAGGGAACTTGCAATGGCTTACATTTCCATGTATGCAGTTTTAAGAAAGATCAGAATCAGACCCCCGGTTGTTATAGGAATGTAAATTAATTCACTTGTCTGGTTAGACTATGTTTGAGGGGGAAAGTTGTTTACTTTACTAGAATTACTGCAAGGTAACCTATCAATTAACTGGTTTCAGAGGAACAGCCGTGTTAGTCTGTATTCGCAAAAAGAAAAGGAGGACTGGTGGCACCTTAGAGACTAACCAATTTATTTGAGCATAAGCTTTCGTGAGCTACAGCTCACTTCATCGGATGCATTCAGTGGAAAATACAATGAAGTGAGCTGTAGCTCACGAAAGCTCATGCTCAAATAAATTGGTTCGTCTCTAAGGTGCCACAAGTCCTCCTTTTCTTTTTATCAATTAACTATGTGGCAAATAAAACCTGATGAAGTGAAGCATTAACAGATAATTTATGGTTTTTTTTGTTTTAATAGTGTCTTGAGCGAGAACAGGGAATTCAGTGGATTAAGCAAGAAAGACTCCCAGCCTTTCTAAAAAGTGATTGTTACTTTGAATACAGGTATCGTCCCCTCTAATGTCGTATCAAGTATTACATTTGTTAATTTATCTCCTCTATTTAGTTTGTCTTGACATAACTCTTACAACATTTTCTCAGATCTTTTGCCCCATGTAATCCACATAATTTCAGTGATTTGGATAAATTAAAATGAGGCTGATGCCTTTTCTCCACTTCCTCTTGACTCTAATTTCCCTTGCCCATGAAATGACAAGACTGAAATAAAAGCTATTCTAGAATTAGGGTAATGCTGCTATGCCTGCTTGTGTTATGCATGAGGTCAGACTCGATAATCACAATGGTTGGTTCTGGCCTTCAAATCTGTGAATCTATCTAGCCATATCTAGGTACTGTAAATGAATTATAAAAAGTAGTGGAATCTGTGTGGAAGGGACAGCCAATTCTCTGTTATCCTTTTTGTTTTAATCACTGGTTTCTACCTTTGTGAATGTAGCTAGATTTTCCTCTGCCCAGGTTCTTTGAGGATTGCTATGGCAAAATGGTGAGTCTTGCAGCATGACCTGATGTACTTGTACTTTTCCTGACCTCCTTTGAGAGGATGTCCCAGAGCCTTGGACCTGCTGTGGGAAGGCCCTTCCTCCAGATCCCTAAAGTTCATGTCTGGGTTCTGTTGGTTGTAGTATGCAGGATGATCACAGCTTTGCTGGTGAGTCCCTGAAAGAGTGGCTGCTTGGTAGCCTGGTTTACCAAGTCCCTTTTTTATTGTAGAAATTGACCAGTTCTTTGGGCACTGAGTGCTGCATAAAAATATTTTAAAATGTTTGCTGTAAATGTAGCAATATTCAATATACTGAAGACTGTGCTTACATTGGAGGGAAAATTGTACAAAGGATAACAAATCCTAGAGAAATGCTGTATTTTCCCTTTAGGCAATAAATGGACATGCCTAAGCCTTTTCTGTTGTGTCAAACCATTTTCTTCATTAAACAAAACAAAAATTATATAAAATGAACTCTAATCATTTGCTTAATTCCCACTGAAGTTAGTATTTAAAACTAAACACATGCTTAAGGACCTTCCTGAATCAGGGCCAAAGTGAGCACAGATGGGAGGAAAAAAGAGACCGAATCTGACCCAGAACACCAGATCTGAACACTCCATTTCCTCCCCGCCCCCACATCTATGATGAAGTTTGGATTTGGAGCTAGATTCAGATATAAACTCCAGGCTCAAGCCTAATGTATACCATGCCTAGCTTTTGGAGGAATTCTTCTCTGGCTCTATGAACCATAGAATGGCTGTCATTCTTCACATATGTAAATATGGTCCGGGGGTAAAATAGAAGATAAGTAGCATAGGAAGTTCCCCTTTAGAATTTATTTTGAGAATGCTAATGTTTCTTACTGTCAGTTGTAAAGAGAAATCAAATGAATGTCTTGATGAATGTTTTAACTGAACCACTCATTTGTCTCCTAATATATTTAACTGTAGGTTAGCTAAACTGCTTTCTCAGGTAGAATGGAGCCAAACTGGTATTAACTTCATTATAGATACAACATATTATCCCTGGATTATGAAAAGAGAGCTGACACCTCCTTTTCCTGAGGAGGGTGAAGAGGAATTAATTATGAGAAAGTTCTATGTTTCACTTGGCCAGGTAAAATCCGCACAACGTATAGGCAATGGCAGCAATTTTGTGCTGGAAGGAGCACACTGGGCTAAGACCCTTTGTACTAATTTAGTCTGTCTGTCTCCCTCTGGCATCTTTTACCATAAACATTTGGTGTTATATGTTATTATGACATTTTACAAACTTTCACTCACTTTTCAGTTAAGTTCACATTCAGGGTAAATTTGTAGGCCCATTTATCACAACTCTTTCAGTTTCCTCTAAGTGCAGGGGGAGCTCTGCTGTTCCCACTTCAGCCCCTGGCCTCTCTGGAGAGTCTCTTCCTTCAGATTTCTGCCTAGCCCTGAATTCTGGGCTCCAACTTATTCTCCCTTTGGATAGAATATCCACAAGCAGCCCTCCTTCCATACAGCTGTGTTTCACTCCTGGCTGGCTTCCCAGCTTCCAGATTCACACCACTGTGGCCTCTCTGGAGAGACCTCTCCCCATGTGTCCTCCTGGCCCTGGTTTCAAACTCCTCCCCTTAGTTCAGGGGCCATGCTTTAATCCTGGCAGGTTTCCCTCCATATTTCTACATCCATTGTAAACCACCATGATAACAAAACCTATGTGGTGAGAGAGCACAGAATAACTACAGACAATATGGTCTCTGTTCTGAGAAGCCCTGCAACAAATAGATCAAACAGAATTATTGTATAAGCTATGTTGAACTTGTTTAATGTTGCTTTTCATAGGCTACAGTTACTCAGACAAAGGATTGGTTTACACTAGCCAAAAAAAGTCAGCAAACAACAACTACAGATACAGTTACTCATCCTTTAGTTTCCACTCAAATTCAAGGCACACGGTATTGGTCTACAGGCCCTCAGAGAACTGTTGCATACAACCACAGTGTCAGTCCAGGTAAGTAGTAATAGTGCAGCTATGCTACTTAGATAACAAATATGACAAGATTGAAATCAAAGCTATTCTGGAGTTAGAGTAATGCTGCTATATCTGCTTGTCATTGTTCTGTGGCCTACAACACAATACCTAGGAACTTGGATGGGGAAGAGAATAGGTGTATTTCTTCTTCACTCCACAACATTAAATGCTGCTTACTATAAATGGCCCATAATCTCTCATCTGCTATGCAGAGCAGAGGGAAGCAAAATGGATCAGAAAAGTCCAAACACATGGGGAAGTGTTGGAACTATGTCTCTCCCCAGTCCTGTGAGAACACAGAAACTGCTGCATTTGAGAATTGCCTCATCAGGGCCATGTGGATCCAAAGCGTGGATAGGGTGGTATGGTAACTCCTCAGGACATTATTGCTCTGGAAACCTACCTTTGTAAAATATGCTGACTCATTCATTAATCATTAATGTACACAGGTTGCACTAATATGTAAGTCATGACTTAATCATTAGTTTATGCAGAGCTGCAAGCAGTCAGGTCAAGACTGTACAGCACTTGCAGGATCTGTATTGCATGGGGCTGGGACTGGGATAGGAATGGGAACCAGCAGGAGGTCCACTTTGCTGTTATATTTTTCTGCTCAGAGTATAATGGCTTCAAATGTTGGGTGAGCCACAAAGTGTTTTAGCATAATCTAAATTTGAAAGAACTTTTAACCACAACACTTCAGTGAGTCCCTAAGCAGTGCACCCCCGTATTCCACCACATTCACTTCCTCCTTAGTGTGGGTTGCTAGTAGCCATGTGGACAGTCTTTCTCCTTGCCCCTCCCCTCAGTTGCCTAGTAATCAGTGAGTTTTCACCCTATGGATCTATTAGCTCTCCTGCCTGAGAGCTTTGTCTTCTAGTGTGGAGCTCTGTTTTTCATCTGCATCTGGCTATTACTTTGTCATGCAAAATCTGCTGCTCCTTCAATCTAAAAGGCATTCTGCATGCACAGTACTTCCCTTCCTTAACCTCCACAGACTGGGGCAGAGTCAGAGAATTGGCACAGGTGAGGTTTGGTTGCAAAATAGTTACCTCATGGGAACATCCTTGGAATATGCGGTGCAGGACATGGTCAGATAGCAGTGTCAGCCAACAAGGATGAGGGCAGTCTAGCCTAGTGGCCAGAGTCAGAGCTGTAGTCAGTCATTGGGAGCCAAAGCCAAGGGTAAAACTGGAAGGCAAAAACTTGTTACCAGAGCCAAGGGTCAAGCTGGAGTCCATAGTCAGGAGCCAGAGCTGAGGGTCAAACTAGAGGGCAGGAACTGCAAGCAGGATGACAGACAAGGACGGGTTCAAAGCAGGAGCAGGCACAGCAATGAGCATGAGCATTGAAAAGCAAGTGAGCTGCTGCTGGCTTAAGAGCCAATCTGCTGGTATCTGCGGGCAATCAGTTGCTTGGCTAATCAGACAGCTTGCTGCAGACCAACTGTACTGATGAGGCTGCCTAGAGACTAGCTCTCCTGGAGACCGGGATTCCTGACACACACCTCTACTTGGAATTTATGCCACTGGGGGATCAGGGCCATGGGTTAGCTTGATGTTTTTTGCCACTTGTGATATTTTTAATTTGTTATGTGATAAAATAATATTTAAATTATTCCTTCATCAATGTAGATTAAGAATTAGAGTAAATTAGATTAGATTCAGTATTATGAAAATTAGTGGATTTTTAAAATTTAAAAATATTTTTAAAAAGTGGAATAGTGTGAGTATGGAACATAGGAATTTCTATACTAGTTCTGACCAGTGATCCATTCCGTTCAGTATTCTGCCCGTGACATTGCCCACCACTACATAATTCACAGGAAGTAACAAGAAATACTATAATGGAAAATTATGGAATAACTTGCCCATCCTAAACTCTGATTAGTAATGGATGTCTTATGCACTGAAACATGGACATTTATATCTCTTGTTGTGCTGAATGGTTACAGGAATACGGATGGGATTCGGTTAACTCTCAAATTTAAAAAAACAAATTGAAACCAAGATGCTGTATAGCCATGGTAAAATTATGACTGTTTCTTCTTGCTTTTCATTTAGATTCCATTCCTTTTCAAGGCACATGTAATTTTTCTGCTCAGTCTTACACAGCTGATTTATACAACAGTAGCAGCAGTAATCTAGGTAAGCGATATTTATAGATAAATGGTCACTTGTGCCAACTACCACCTGGACTGGAAAAGTCCTATTGCCCAGAAGCCTGGGATATGCAGAAGGAATCTGGGCAAGTAAAAGTGTCAGGTTTCCTGCTCAGCAGATAAGAACAACAGGGGAGGCTGGAGGCCAGTTTAATAACATGAGACACATCTGCACTGAGCTGTCAATCAAAGGGAGGATGGCTAAAGGGGATGAGTGGGAGTGGAGCAAAAAGAAATGAGTTGCCTCAATGGTACGGGGAGAGAGGGGGGAGCTGGTTATTTATCTAAACACATTATTAATGAAACATTTGTAAACGGAACTGATTCCTTTTTGGGTTAAAGATTTCATCTGTAGGAACTCAAATGTGAAATTGCAGAACTACTAACTGTGGTTTGTAACCTATCATTTAAATAAGCTTCTGTACCAGATGAATGGAGGATAGTTAATATCCTCCAATTTTTAAAAAGGGCTCCAGAGGTGATCCTGGCAATTACAGGCTGATAAGCCTGACTTCAGTACCGGGCAAACTTGTTGAAACTATAGTAAAGAACAGAATTGTCACACATATCGATGAATATAATTTGTTGGGGAAGAGTCAATATGGTTTTTGTAAAGGAAAATCATGCCTCACCAATCTACTATAATTCTTTGAGGGGGTCAATAAGCATGTGGACAAGGGGGACCCAGTGGATATAGAGTACTTAGATTTTTCAGAAAGCCTTTGACAAGGTCCCTTACCAAAGGCTCTTAGGCAAAGTGAGCTGTCAAGGGATAAGAGGGAAGGTCCTCTCATGGATCAGTAACTGGTTAAAAGATAGGAAACAAAGAGCAGAAATAAATGGTCAGTTTTCAGAATGGAGAGAGGTAAATAGTGGTGTCCCCAGGGGTCTGTACTGGGACCAGTTCTTTTCAACCTATTCATAAATGATCTGGAAAAAGGGGTAAACAGTGAGGTAGCAAAATTTGCAGATGATACAAAACTACTTAAGATAATGAAGTTCAAAGCAGACTGCGAAGAGCTACAAAGAGATCTCACAAAACTGCGTGACTGGGCAACAAAATGGCAGATGAAATTCAATGTTGATTAATGCAAACTAATGCACATTGGAAAACATAATCCCAACTGTACATATATTAGCTGTTCCCACTCAAGAAAGAGATCTTGGAGTCATTGTGGATAGTTCTCTGAAAACATCTACTCAATGTGCAGCGGCAGTCAAAAAAGCGAACAGAATGTTGGGAATCATTAAGAAGGGAAAAATAATAAGACTGAAAATATCATATTGCCGCTATATAAATCCATGGTTTGCCCACATCTTGAATACTGCATGCAGATGGGGTCATCCCATCTCAAAAAAGATATATTGGAATTGGAAAACGTTCAGAAAAGGGCAACAAAAATTATTAAGGGCATGGATCAGCTTCCATATGAGGAAAGATTACTAAGACTGGAACTTTTCAACTTGGAAAAGAGATGACTAAGAGGAGATATTATAGAGGTCTATAAAATCATGACGGGGGTGGAGAAAGTAAATAAGGAAATGTTGTTTATTCCTTCTCATAACACAAGAACTGGGGTCACCAAATGAAATTAAAAGGCAGCAGATTTAAAACAAAGGAAGTATTTATTCTCACAAAGCACAGTCAACCTGTGGAACCCTTTGCCAGAAGATGTTGTGAAGGCCAAGACTATAACAGGGTTAAAAAAAGAATTAGATAAATTCATGGAGGATAGGTTCATCGATGGCTATTAGCCAGGATGGGCAGGGATGGTGTCCCTAGCGTCTGTTTGCCAGAAGCTGGGAATGGGCGACAGGGGACAGATCACTTGATGATTACCCATTGTGTTCATTCCCTCTGGGGCACGTGACATTGGCCACTGTCAGAGGACAGGATACTGGCTGGATGGACCTTTGGTCTGACCCAGTGTGGCCAATCTTATGATCACAGGGTCCTAGGATTCAAGGTCCCAGACATGTTCATTTGTATATTTACTCTTTCCATACATAAAAAGATGTTATTCCATTGACAGGTGCCTGTCCAATGCTTTGAGCACCCTGACAACAATTAAAATCAATAAGCTCATGCCATTTTCCAATATGACAAGTAATACACTTTCCATTCCGTCATAGGTAGATAAACAGCTACCATTTATTATTCCCTGTTGCTCCTAAATAAAAAACGCCTCCCACCTCAAACCACCACCTGGCCACATGCATGGGAGAAAAGATGGGCCTAGCAGTATGACCAGACATTTAATAGGTGTTCTGGGGGTAGAGGTGCCTATGGGTTGGGATGCCAGTTGGTGGGGTGCTGCCTGCTGGCAAGGTTGGTTGCCTTGGGGTGTGCTGGGGTCAGATGGTTGAGAATGCATGGATCTAGTGGAACAAGGTGGGGAGTGAGTTTCATAGACTCAAGGGGCTCTCACAGAGAACATTATGGCAGAAGACCCCTCCTGTTTATAGCAAGGTAGCTGCAGCTCAAGCTCATCTGCTGATCCCAACTGTGGCAGTATGGCACTTTCCATTGCTGTCAACAATAAAATGCAAATATGTTCCAATTTTTGTAACTTGAAAACTTGTTTCTGTCGGCCAGGAGAACAGTTCTGAATCTGACAGAGTTTTCAATGATCTCTTTTGATATAATGCAGGAGTGGATTCCCTGGCTATGGAATACAGTCAAAGGAGTCTCCCCCTCCTACAGAGGACAGGAACTTCAAAAACTAGCAATGTTAGTGGGAGATCCAAAAGTACAGAGCTTTACACTTCTGTATCCATTGCTGACACTCCTTCCCATACTATGTTAAGAGTATATCTAGACCAGAAATGGGAGAATGGTGCTGAGGAGAAAGAAAATCTGGAATTCGATGGTAGACCGGAAATGCCAGCTTTTCAAACATTAGAAGAGTTTACATCAGCTTATATTCAGTATATAGTGAGTGAATCAATCTCAAAACTGATGGGACAACCGGCTGCTAAGAGCAAGACTGATATGAACTTCAGTAAACTGTCCGATGTATTTATACATGAGTTATCAAATAATCAACTTTCTGCTACTGCTGCAGAGCCACTTACTTCCCAAAGTGTCTCTCCATCCAACAAGTTAGACTCCAAAGCACATTGCATAAAACAGGAGACTGAAGAAGTGAGTTCAAGTTCAAGGTCTGAAAGTGATGTCACAGACAGTCGGGCTGCCTGGTGTACCAGTTACAGAGCTTATGATATTGGCAACAGAAATGAATTTGAAAGATTCAAGAAGTTCATAAAAGGAACTTTGGGTGAAAGGTACTGGTGGCTCTGGATGGACATTGAAAGATTAAAGGTCCTTAAGGACACTAGAAGGCAGCAAAGGTATTTGCCATTGTTTTTAATGCTTATAAAGAAGGCTAGATAAATGTTGTCTATGAGCATTTAGAATGACCCATGCATAATGGATATGAGTGAATAATGCAAACACAATGGTTCTAATTCTGATTATTTCACTAATACAAGGGTAATTCATGAATAACCACTGAAGTTGGCTGAGTTATATGTTTGCAAAACTAGTGTGAGGTCAGAATCAGGGTGAAAATTAAGGCTTTATACAAAAGGGTTTTTTATAAAACTGAATATGAATAAATGTCTTAATGAAAACAGAATGAAAGATACTCTATAAATGTAAGATTTTAAAGTCACAAGCAGGGCATACAGTATGACACACTTCCCAAACAATGACAGGTTTCAGAGTAACAGCCGTGTTAGTCTGTATTTGCAAAAAGAAAAGGAGTACTTGTGGCACCTTAGAGACTAACCAATTTATTTGAGCATAAGCTTTCGTGAGCTACAGCTCACTTCATCGGGTGCATCTCTAAGGTGCCACAAGTACTCCTTTCCTTTTCCCTAACAATAAGTTTCAGAGTAGCAGCCATGTTAGTCTGTATCCGCAAAAAGAAAAGGAGGACTTGTGGCACCTTGGAGACTAACAAATTTTTTGAGCATAAGCTTTCATCCTATGAAGTGAGCTGTAGCTCACGAAAGCTTATGCTCAAATAAATTTGTTAGTCTCTAAGGTGCCACAAGTCCTCCTTTTCTTTTTCCCTATCAATATGCTTTATTAGATTTAGGTCACCTGTCCTAAGCCAGTAGGAACATTTATTCTGTACAAAACTTGGCTTTATTTGGTAATAGAAATGTTTTGGATTCTGCTATTTAGAAATGTTTGAAAATGTATTTCCAAAATGACAGCTGTTTGCTCAGTGGGATGAATCATGCCTATTATGATTGAATGTTAATATCAGTGGTTATAGCTTATTTAGGAAAGACTGAGTGGGCAAAAGGGGAAAGGGGAGTGGCACTTTATGTAAAAAATGGTTGTACATATTTCCAAGTCACTGATAACTTGAAAAAACATTATCTTGAATGCTTATAGATTAGTGTCCTAACTGATAAAAAACACAAGATGTGGTATTAGTTGGTATTTACTAAAGATCACCAAATCTTACTAGGGAACTGGACGATCAGCTCATAAAGTTTAAGGTCAGAAGGGTCCATCGTGATCATCTAGTCCAGGGGTGGGCAAACTTTTTGGCCCAAAGGTCACATCTGGGTGGGGAAATTGTATGCAGGGCCATGAATGAAGGGCTAGGGCAGGGGTCTGGGGTCTGGGAGAGAATGCGGGGTGTGGGAGAGGGTGAGATGTGCAGAAAGGGCCTCAGGGTAGGGGGTTGGAGGGCAGGAGGGGTGCAGGAGGGGGCTCAGAGCAGGGGTTCAGGAGGAGAGTGGGGTGCAGCAGGGGGCTCAGGGCAGGGAGTTGGGATACAGGAGGGGGTGCGGTGTGCGGGAGGGGGCTCAGGGCAGGGGGTTGGGGTGCAGGAGGGGTGTGGCAGGGGGCTCAATGCAGGGGGCTACGGGGCTCAGGGCAGGGGGTTGGGGTGTAGGAGGGGGCTCAGGGCAGGGGCTTGGGGTGCAGGAGGGGTGCAGGGCATGGCAGGGGGCTCAGGGAAGGGGGTTGGGAGCTCAGGGCAGGGGGTTGGGGTGCAGGGACATGGTGCCAGCAGCTTCTGGGAGCGGCATGGGGCCAGGGCAGACAGGGAGTCTGCCTTAGCCCCGCCACGCCGTGCCATGGGGCTGGCAATCCCGTGGGCCAGTTAAAAGCCCTGATAGGACGGATCCGGCCCGCAGGCCATAGTTTGCCCTCCCCTGATCTAGTCTCACCTCCTGCACATTGAAGGCCACAGAACCTCACCCACTCCAGAAATAGACCCCTAAACTCTGGCTGCGTTACTGAAGTCCTCAAATCATGGTTTAAAGACTTCAAATTACAGAGAATTCACCATTTATGCTAGTTTAAACCTGTAAGTGACCCATGCCCTATCCTGCAGAGGAAGGCAAAAAATCCCCAGGGCCTCAGCCAGTCTGACCTGTGGGAAAATTCCTTCCCACCCCAAAGATGGTGATCAGTTAGATGCTGAGCATGTGGGCAAGACCCACCAGGCAGATACTTGGGAAAGAATTCTCTGTAGTAACTCAAAGCCCTCCCCTTTCCTATTATTTTTCCCCCTTGCTTGGGATGCAGGCTTCAGATACTTTTTGCAACTTTGACTTAAAGTAATTCCAAGCCTCCTCCACATTCAGATCCTTGAGTTCTTCAGGCCAGTCCACTTCCTGAACTAACTCCGTTAATTTATTAAAGTTAGCTCTTTTGAAATTAAGGACCTTTGTTGCAGATCTATTTTTGTTTATTGTTCCATTTAGTTTAAACTGAATTAACTCATGATCACTCAAATCAAGGTTGTCCTCACTAGTTCTTCTAGGAGGTCCTCACTACTCACCAATGCCAACTCTAAAATGGCATCACCTCTTGTAGTTTCAGCAATTATTTGGTGAAGAAATCTGTCAGCTATTATACCCAGGAAAATCTGGGCCCTACTGTTATTAGTAGCACTTGTCCTCCAATCTACATGTGGGAAGTTAAAGTCTCCCATAATCAGACAATTCCCAGTAGAGTTTATTTCATTAAAAAAAGAAGTCCATATCCAAATTGGATCCTAGTGGTCTGTAGCAGACCACAAGCATATATTAGGGGAACCTCTAATAGCTTTCTTCCTCAAAGTGATTTTGGCCCAAACAGACTGTCTTATCCATTCCATCACTTCTAATTTCTTTACAGTCTACCTCATCATTAATATACAATGCTACTCCAACACCTTTGCCTTTATTTCTGTATTTCCTGAACAGCACAGACCCTTCAATACCCGTACTCCAGTCGTGACTACTATTCCACCAGGTTTCTGTTATCCCTATAATATCTGGTTTCACTTCCTGCACCAATAGTTCTACTTCCTCCATTTTGTTACCCAGACTCCTTGCATTGGTGTACAGACGTCTTAACTATTGCAGCTTGGCTTCGCCCACATTCCTTGCCCAATTGGGTGCAGTCATTTTACTGCCAATATCACCTACCTGATTGGTATCAGCACTATCCTTCCTCTTAATGCCCATTCTCCTACCCACTGCTGTTCCTTTCTCCATTGCTATATCCTTTCTTACTTGATTTTCCTCCCGCTCAAACTTAAAATCAGTCATGGAAATTACATGAGCATCTCCCAGTGGTCTCCCCTGAGTTTCTAGTTTAAAGTTCTTGTAATGAGTTGTGTCAACTTCCATCCATGAAGTCTGTTTTCCTCCCTACTCAGGATGAGTCCATCCCATGAGAACTGTCCTTTGTCCATGAATGCCTCCCAGTGGTCAAACATCCTAAAGCCCTCCTTCTAGCATCACTGTCTGAGCCATCTACTGATCATCATAATCTAGTCTCACCTTCATTCTCCTCCTCTAGGGACAGGCAAAATCCCACTGAAGATCATCTGAGCCTCCATTTCCTTAAGTGTCTTCCCCAGCCTGGCATAGTCTCCATGGATATGTTCCAGCAAGAATCTAGCTGTGTCATTTGTTCCCACATGAAGGATAATCAGCAGATTCTTTCCTGCTCACATTAGGATCCTCTTCAGCCTCAGGTCCACATCCCATATCTTAGCTCCCGGCAGACAGCACACCCTTCTGTTCTCCGAATCCGCTCTGGTGACAGACCTGTCTGTTCTTCTTAGTAGGAGTCACCAGTCATGTAAACCTGCCTTTTCCTGGTGATGGTGTGTCTCATTCATCACCGTCTGCCTGTTCTCAGCCGTCTGCCTGTTCTTTTTGGCTGCAAGTCTTTTTGTCTTTTATTCTCCCTTGCAATCTTCTGCAAGTCATCCTGTATCCTCCTGGGGCTCTGAACTCTGGGTATCTCCATTGACTCTTCCCCTCTTCTTATAAGACTATCCGCACTTCTGTTCTTCCTTTCCCTCCCCCCTTCAGTTACTGCCAGCCATGCCCTGCTTCATTTTTCCAACTCAGCAAACCTGTCCCTAAACTCTATTTGTGAGGTCCCGCCCACCACTTACATGAGGGGAAGGAGGTGGAGAGGAGCGGGCACTTACCAGCAAAAACAAAAGTCAGGGCCTGTGCTGCTCAGTACCTTTTGAACAGGACTGGAGCCTAGAAAGTCTGCCATTTCATCAAAGGAAAATGATCATGCATCAACCTTGTTATCACAAATGGAGTTTCCCACACACTTTAATCCAAAAACACTGGTTAAGATAAAACAATAAGATAGATTTATTAACTACAGGAAGATGGATTTTAAGGGATTACAAGTGGTGATGCATTAAATCAAGATTGGTTATAAAAAGAAAATAAAAGAATAAAACACAAGCTAATACCTAATTTAACAAGCTATGTGAATTTAAAAACAAAGGGGTTTTGTCTCACCGTATACAACAGTCTGTATTGGCTGAAAAGCCTTCCAGCCGAGGCCCCTCTCCCAGTTTAAAGATGTTTCCTTTTTGTCTTTCAAGCATTGTAGCTGCTGGGAGTAGAGATGGGAAGAGAAAGGGGTGACGTGGAGGCCACTGTCTCTCATTCTTATACCACTCTCCCCTCTTTGAGGATTACCTCCAGCTGGGGTGAAGGTGAAAAACAGTCTTTTGTGGACTTGAGGTTTGAACCGGCCCTGTGATGAAATATAAATTTCTTATTCATACCTTCCCCCTGCCGGAGAATGTCTCTGTAAGCAGGTGATAGCTCTTTAGCACCTGGCTGGGGTGTTGGTCTGTCCTTTGTTCCTGTGGTACTGGTTTGGGCCTACTTTTCCTAAACTTGGAGTATGTTACAGCAATGTTATATAGTCGAAACTTATGTATATCGACATTGAACGTAAAGTTATATTTTACCAGGTGAATTATATTCAGCAGGTTATGAGTTTTCAAATTATACCCCACAAGGCATACTTGTACAAAATTTATCACAGTCTTGTAAAAGTGGTGACTATAATAGTATAGACTCTCACAAAACAAAGAGGTTATGTTACCTCTGTATTGGGCCCTGGTGTGACCACCCCTGGAATAGTGTCCAGTTTGGTGTCAATAATTCAAGAAGGATGTTGATAAATTGGAAAGGATTCAGAGGAGAGCCAGGAAAATGATTAAAGGATTAGAAAACATGCCTTTTATTGTTACACTTGAGGAGTTCAGTTTATTTAGTTTAACAAAGAGAAGGTTAAGGGGTGACTTGATTATGGCAGCACGCAGAACACAGGTACTACAAGTGTGGCTACATGCCACAGTGAAAGGCAAGCTGCATCCATACTTGTCACTGTGGTGTGTAGCTACACATCCTGGAGAAAGGCTCTGGCATCAGGGAGCTGCCAGAACCTTTCGCTGGTGCTGGGGAAAGGCTCCAGCAGTGAGTAGGCAGCAGGACACTCCACTGGTAAAAATAGCACTATAGACATGGGAGGCTCTGCTTGGCAGGGCTGGCTCTAGGATTTTTGCCGCTCTAAGCAAAAAATTTTTTGGCCGCCCCAGCTTTTTTTTCGTGTCCTACCCCCGGTTCTGCCCCAACTCCGCCCCGCCCCAACCCCTTCCCCAAATCTCTGGCCCCGCCTCCTCCCCCCCATTGCTTCCTGCGGCTCCCCCCCCACAACCCCCTGCCTTATCTCACCTCCGCTCTGCCTGCTCCCTGAACATGCCGCCGCTCCGCTTCTGCCCCCTCCCTCTCAGGTGAGGGAGAGGCAGCGCGTTCAGGGGAGCAGGCGGAGCAGAGGTGAGCGAGGTTTGGGGGGAGCGCAGGAAGTAACGGGGGGGGATAGAGGAACTGCTCCATGCCCCAGCTCACCTCAGCTCCACCAGCGCTGCCTCCCCCGAGCGCAGCGCCGCTCGGCTTCTCCTCCCGCCCTCCCAGGCTTGCTGCGCAGGAGGGGAGAGAAGCGGAGCGGGGTGGCGAGCTCAGGAGAGCAGGCGGAGGTGGAGCGGAGGCGAGCTGGGGCGGCATGGCCGGCGCTGGAACGCCGCCCCTAGAAATGTGCTGCCCCAAGCACCTGGTGCCTAGAGCCGGCCCTGCTGCTTGGGCATGTGGAGAGACGTGTAGGGTATATACCCTGAGGGTTCAGACATGTAGGGCACTCTTCTCCACTCTGCTTTCCTAAGCTCTGGCTCACTGTCTACACTGCTATTTATACCCATGCAGAGGTGCTGGAACTAGGGGTGCTGGGGGTGCAGTAGCACCTCCTGGCTTGAAGTGGTTTCCGTCATATATAGGGTTTATAGTTTGGTTCAATGGCTCTCAGTACCCCACTATAAAAATTGTTCCAGCACCTATGTACCCATGCTAGCTGGATACTTACATACTACATAGATGTACCTTATATGTACCTACATGGGGAAACAAATATTTGATAATGGGCTCTTCAATCTAGCAGAGAAAGGTATAATGTGGTCCAGTGGGTGGAAGTTGAAGCTAGACAAATTCAGATTGGAAATAAGGTTTAAATTTTCAACAGTGGTGGTAATTAACCATTGGAAAAAATTAACAGGGGTTGTGGTAGATTCTCCAATATTGACAATTTTTAAATCATTTTGGGGAAGTTTTATGGCCTGTGCTATACAGGAGATCAGACTAGATTATCACACTGGTCCCTTCTGCCCTTGGAATCTAGTAATTTATGTGCAGGGTCTAATATATGTATATATTTTCTTTGACTCAAGACAGCTTGATAAAATGAAAAAACTCTATCTCGTGAGCAGTGGAGATTATTTTCTCAACTCAGAAGTCTTATTCAAACTGGACCTGCTACTTGGAGACCAGTGGAATACAAGACACTTAAAATGGATTCAGCCTGAAGTAGTGAAACCTTTACTTCTTTACTGGTAGGGATAACCGAAGATGAACTCTGACGCCATTGTTTTTGTAGTGTTTATTTCCTTTTACTTTGACCCCAATCTGCTAAAGTTGTGAGGGAAATTCTGACCTCATTTACTCTAGTACAACCCCATGGAGCTAGCGTTAGCATAAGAGATAGCAGATCCTGGCCCTGTGAATTTTTGTTTGAGAGATCTGAGACTCAAGGTCAAACTCTATATTAAACTACATCCTGTACAGCCCATCTAAAGTCGCTGGTGTTGCACATGATATAAATCTATGCAGAGTTTGGCCCTGACAATTTACTGTTGGACCTCTGTTATACAGAATATTAATAGCTGTCTTGCTGTAACTTTGAAAGCCTGCTTACTGCACTGCTGCTAAAAGTTTAAATGTGGATAATTATATTTGCTTGTATTGTAAAGCACTTTGAGATCTGAGCATTAAAAGTGTTATACAGAGCTGAATACTATTATTTATTTAGCTTTGATTTACAAAGGCTGTTCTCTCAAGGACTTCACAGTAAATCATCTGTCTTCATATTAATTGTTCTCCTTCTGCTGTAGTAGATTATGCAGATTCTAACCTAGTTTGCAAAGCATAATCAGCCATATTCTTTTTCATTTCCTCCTCACCCCCCACCCCCACCCCCAAAGTGAAAATCTGCATTCATGAACTAAGGCTACCAAATTACTTCATGCTACCACAGTGCCTCATGGGAGCTGTAGTTTGGGTGTCTCATGGCTCCATTCTCTTTTATAGACTAGACATAGATTGTTAGATTGAATGTAAATTGCAGTCTCATGAACAAAAGCAGCTGTATTATACTTTGCCATTTAGAACCCTAACGTAATTTAGGCAATAGGTCACTTTTATATTTAGAGTAGTGTAAGAGGTAAATTTATCTTTTATGTTGTCTGATCTTTAACTCTGGTTATTAATAGCACCATACATTGATGTAGTAAATGTCACATTAGTCCAATAGTTTGTGTTTTGAATAAATTCTGCTTGTATGTATTCCCCCCCTGCAGGGGTCCCAGATTTTGTGTCACTCATACAGCTGCAATACGAACTGCCAGTGCAAAGTTGAAACAGTGGCACACCTCTCACGAGAGACCAAGGACAGATATTGATCCTTACCCACAAATGGTGACGTTGTTGCCACTGCGAGCTAAATCTTGTATTCCAAGGTTAGCACCTTCCCATCCTCAGGTAGGCATGATAAGGACCCTCAGAAGTTAACGGCAAAAGTTCTATTGAATTAAAAGGGACATGGATTTCGTCCTCATTCCTTGAGTCAATTTAGAGTCAGATCTAGTTAATCTAAGCTTGTCTCATCCAAAATCTATGTGTAAAATGCAGTAGAATGCTACTGTGTTTTGTACAGTAGCTCCCATTCAAACTGCAGGTCAATTTCTGTTCACAGTTACACCCTGACAACTCCATTGATGTCAGTGGGCCACAAGGATATACCTGAGAGCAGATTTTAGCTGAAAATTTCAAATTTCATTGAGTTACATAAGAGCTAGAAGGCAAGATTCTGCTCTCTAGTATCCTGGTGTAAATCTGGAGTAATTCCACTGGTTTCAATTAAGTTACTTTGGATACATACTTACTAGCGTAACAGAGAGCAGAATCTGGCTCACTGTCTCTCAGATCATAATTGTTTAGTCAGAACAGCCATCTGTGATATTTTTTCTAGAGATGGTCTCAGGCTACAAAACTCAGATCTAGATATGGATTTTTAATATACTAGAATTTGTACATTGCGAGATCAGGGTTCTTGACTCAGCTCATCACAAAGGGCCTGAATATGAGAGGTCACTTCAATGGAATTTGCACGTACTCAGCAACACTCAGGATCAGGTCTCAAGATAGGAGCTATTTACAAATTGTGAATCCAGATCACAGTTCAGATTTCAAATACTCCCAAGGATAAAGGATGCTCTGATTCAGGGGTGAGTTCAAACCCATTTCTAATATTTTTATTGGAATAATTTTTGGAATGCAATTTTAATATCTATGTATATTAAAAAAGTAATTAATACGATAGATGGTTCATTATGGTCTAAATTAATCTTCGTGGCCTGATGTTACTGCAAATGGCTTCAGCTGTTTAATTAAAATTTCATGAAACTTCTTGATTTCACTTTATAGGGATTTATGCAAACATTTTTCTGGTTGTTGTTTTTAATGACGTGGGCTTGGATCCTTGAGATACTCGCTGAGTCTGGATTTTGAATGAACTCACAGTCTTAATGGAAACAAACAAATTTTCACCTGTTTTCATTTCAAACTCATACATAGTGCAGTTTCATTGCATAGCCCTAAACTGGTCCAGATTTGCTTGGAAGAGTTTTGCATTTTAGCAAAACTTTCTGGGAACCTAGCTTCAGATAACTGAATTTATAGGAAAGCCTGAAACTAGGTGAGCTTTGTGTGGTCTCAGGTTTTGTCAGAGCTGTGCAAAACGTTCATAATTCTAAGTTATCCTTTGAACATCTCAACTGATTTGTAAACTAGAGGACATTCATCTGCTGCCATTCATTTTCATCAGCATCCTTAGAGTCCAAAAGGAACAAAATCCTGGTCCTGTGAGCAAAGTTTGAGCAAAAGGGCTTTGTCCAGGAAAGTATGCAGGGGGTGGTGGAAGTCTAGATGAGCAGGTGCCACCACTGGGTAAAGAAAGGATTAGTAGATTGCATCTGCACTGTGTGTGCCCCCGGATGTGCCCACATTTACCCCTGATGGTGAATAGTATAATAATGTACAGCTTCCCCCTACACAAGTTGTCTGCTTCCCTGTGCAATGTCTATCTGCTGTGTTTTGTAGTTTCCATGTCTTCTGGATCAAATCTGGAATCAGGAGCTACAAAGACAAAAAAGGTTACATTAAAATTGAAGGATCTTGATTGTTTAGGTGATTTGTTTAATATGGGTCATGTTAAACAAGATATTCCATATTCTCCTGTACCTTCATTCCATTTGCAGAAATCCCACTGATGTCAATTGGAATTTTATGTAAAGATGGAGGTGAAATATTGCCCTCTGCTAGCAACTTTTAATGCTTTGTAGTTATTAAAGGATGATGGAAAAAGCTTGAACCTACTTTACATATTGTGATTGGAAAGAAAGTCCCTGATGTCAATAGAAACCTTTAATTGGAGAGCATCAGAAAGAACAAAGGTGGGAAAATTTATTACTGAGTTATTCTATTTTTCTATTCCTTTAGAGAAATGAAACCAGCTCACCCACAACCTTATTAAAAACAAATGTGATGAATTTATCTTCTAAAAGAGCTTCCAGATTATTGTCAGCTACCCTGCCAGCAAGTGAAACCATCATAAGGGATGATTTCTACAGTGTAACCAATAAACCTGATGTTAGTAGAAACAGGTAGGTGCAAAAATCTCTTGTGTATTATCTATAAATCCCATACTTCTCACCTATTTAACATGGTTTTACAAAAGTCTTAAGATACTCATTGTTTTTACGGAATGCAACTTTTCCATTGCCCACTAATTTAATACAATAATCTGCTCACAAGAGCACAGTTATGATTTAATCTGCCTGTAGTGGAAATTTCTTCCTAACCTCTAGCTGTTAGTGGTTTGCCTGTGCCCAGGAGCATGAAGGCTTTGTCCAGGGAAGTATGCAGGGGCTGATGGAAGCCTAGATGAACAGGTTTATTTAGATGAGTAACATTTATTATCCTTTCTGATGTAACTGTCAGTGTTCTGACTAGGCACATACATATCTTTTTTAAATCCTTCTAAGCACTTGGCCTCCATGATAACTTGTGGGAAGGAGTTCCACAGGTTAATTATGTGTTATGTAAAAAAATATTTTCTCTAACTTCGTTTTAAATCTGTTGCCTTTCAATTTCATTGAATTTCTATTTGTTCCTTCTATAAGAAGACAGGCTAAATAGTAATGCTCAATTTATCTTCTCTATACCATTTATTATTTTGTTACGCCTACATCATGTCCCCTCTTATTTGTTTCCTCTCTAAACTAAACATTCCTAATCTTTTCTTAAGCAATTATCAAACATTTTTGTTTCTTTGTGGGTCCAGGCCAAAATCAGTGGGAAGCAACATGACTCGTCTCTCAGCTGTTACTGATGATACAAAATGCCTGAAGTCCCAGACAGATAGAAAATACACCTATGCTGAGTTGCTCCCAGTAAGTAGCCCTGGAAGAACCTGGCTTCCCGGAATCTATGGTTGAAGACACTTCATTCTACAGTATAACCAATCAAAGGGGGTACGCCCTCTGATTTTGGAAAATGTGTCTGATTATACAGATAATATCTTTGCCTTGTGCAATGTTTTAATTAGAAAGTAGGGCTGTTGATTAATAGCAGTTAACTGACACGATTAACTCAAAAAATTAATCATGATTAAAAAAATTAATCGCCATTAATCGCAGTTTTAATCGCACTGTTAAACAAGACAATACCAATTGAAATTTATGAAATACTTTGGATGTTTTTCTACATTTTCATATATATCTTGTATTCTGTGTTGTAATTGAAATCAAAGGGTATATTTTGATTACAAATATTTGTACTGTAAAAATGATAAACAGAAGAAATAGTATTTTTCAATTCACCTCTTACCAGTACTGTAGTGCAATCTCTTTGTACTGAAAGTGCAACTTACAAATGTAGACTTTGTTTGTTACATAACTGCACTCAAAAACAAAACCATGTAAAACTTCAGAGCCTACAAGTCCTCTCAGTCCTACTTCTTGTTCAGCCAATCGCTAAGACAAACAAGTTTGTTTACATTTACAGAAGATAATGCTGTCCTCTTATTTACAATGTCACCAGAAAATGAGAACAGGCATTTGCATGGCACTTTTGTAGCGGCGTTGCAAGATATTTACGTGCCAGATATGCTAAACATTCATATGCTCCTTCATGCTTTAGCCACCATTCCAGAGGACATGCTTACATGCTGATGATGCTTGTTAAAAAAATAATGTGTGAATTACATTTGTGACTGATCTCTTTTCGGGAGAATTGTATGTCCCCTGCTCTGTTTTACCCACATTCTGCCATATATTTCATGTTATGGCAGTCTCGGATGATGACCCAGCACATGTTGTTGTTCGTTTTAAGAACACTTTCACGGCAGATTTAACAAAACGCAAAGCAGGTACCAATGTGAGATTTGTAAAGATAGCTACAGCACTCAACCCAAGGTTTAAGAATCTGAAGTGCCTTCCAAAATCTGAGAGGGACGAGGTGTGGAGGAGCATGGTTTAAGAAGGCTTAAAAGAGAAACACTCTGATGCGGAAACGACAGAACCCGAACCACCAAAAAAGAAAATCAGCCTTCTGCTGGTGGCATCTGACTCAGATGATGAAAATGAACATGCGTCGGTCCACTTTGCTTTGGATCATTATCAAGCAGAACCCATCATGAACATGGACACATGTCTTGTGGAATGGTGGTTGAAGCATGAAGGGACATATGAATCTTTAGCGCATCTGGCACGTAAATATCTTGCAATGCCTGCTACAACAGTTCCATGAGAACACCTGTTCTCACTTTCAGGTGACATTGTAAACAGGAAGGAGGCAGAATTATCTCCTGCAAATGTAACCAAACTTGTTTGTCTGAGTGATTGGCTGAACAAGAAGTGGGACTGAGTGGACTTGCAAGCTCTAAAATTTTACATTGTTCTATTTTTGAATGCAATTTTTTGTACATAATTCTATATTTGCAGGTTCAACTTTCATGATAAAGAGATTGTATTAGGTTAATTGAAAAATACTATTTATTTTGTCTTTACAGTGCCAACACTTGTAATAAAAATAAATATAAATTGAGTACTGTACACTCTGTATTCTGTGTTCTAATTGAAATCAATATATTTGAAAATGTAGAAAACACCCAAAAATATTTAAATAAATGGTATTCTATTGTTTAACAGTGTGATTAATCGCACGATTAATCGCGATTAATTTTTTTAATCTCGCGGTTAATCTCGATTAATTTTTTTAATTGCTTGACAGCCCTATTAGAAAGCCAGAACTCACTCATAGTTACCACTCTATGGTATCCATTGGTCTATTCTATTTTTTTATTCTTAGACTAGGAAATAATGGTGGTAAGTGTCATACTGTGGTATGGTAACTACTAATAAATGATTATGTTTTAATCATAATAATGTTCTTTGTGTGATAGTAAAAAGGATTACTATGTGTGAGTTAATGGATAAATGCTTCAATAGAGACATTCCCACACCTTAGTACAGTTTTGGGCAGTATTTTAGTGATCAGTGGAAGTGAGAGCTTGAATATGGCCCTAAAATATGCAGTGATGAAAACAGTAAAATATACATGAGGAACATTTTTTTTCATCACTCCTACACTTTATTGTATGGCTTGTAAAATTACTGCCTCCAAAAGCAACTCCCTGAATCAAGTGCACAGAAGAATGTTTTCTTAATTTTTGCTGAACTGATGGAGGCTTTGGGGGCTTCCTGCTTCTTGAAGTCCAAGAATTAAGAAATAATGCCACACATACAACTATAAATCCCAAACTCTTCATGTCCATTGAACATTCCAGAGGTGTCCTGTTCTTTCATAGAGATGTTGGCACTGTTCAGGAAATAAACTCTAATGGTTAAACCTTTCATATGTGCATTGAGTTCCTTAATCTGTTAATGGACTGGTTTCTTTTATTAGGATAGTACTCTTGTTTATTCCTTTGCTGAAGGTATTCTCGTTTAGTTAACAGTGGTGGAACAGGCGGATATTTGTGGTCAAGTGAAATTTATATTGGGGAACCAAACATTCAGGAAATATTCACACAACTGAATATCTCTATTTGTATATCCCTGTCTTTTGTCTGGAGGAGTCTGTCTCTGGCTGAGGGGAAGAGAGGCCCAGCCATTTATTCTCCACTTGGTTATTCATGGAGGCTATCAAGGACCCTTATGGTCATTTATGCCACCACAGGACATGACGGTGGAATCTGCTTGGTGTAATGAGTGGTCAGCAATGACAATCGTTAATCACTCTCTCATCACTGACCCAACCATCTGCCCACCAGGTTTTGACCTGCCAAGGCACCTGTGGCCATCCCTGAACCGGTTTCGAACAACACAGGGCAATTGTGCAGCCAGTCGCTCTTCAAATGGGGTTTCTCTAATGACCCATGATGTAGATATAGTCAACTTCAGCCTACATTGCATATCCTTGACGAGTGCCCAATGGCTTACTTTGATGGTGGGTGAACTCCAGTATGAAGATGATTGTGCTGTAGTTGCACACTCAAAGAAGGATCTATAAAGAGCCCTTAACTGCTTCTCTGAGCTTAAAAAAAGTGTAGGACTAACCCTGAACATTGGAAAAACAAAAGTTCTCCACCAGCCAGCTCCTGGTCAATCATCAAACCGAGCAAGGAAGTTCTACATTGACAGAGAAGAACTGAAACTCTGAAACCAGAGAAGAACCTTGCCTACCTTGGCCACCATCTTTCACAGAGGGCAGCCATAGATGTTAACATTCAGCACAGAATAGGCTGTGCCAGCCTTGTCTTTGGCAGACTGTCTTGATGGGTGTTCAACAACCATGACATCAGAACACACACTAGACTACAGTGGTAATTCCAACTCTCCTCTATTCCTGTGAGACTTGGGTGACCTACAGAAAACACCTGGAAAGCCAGCACTATCACTTTCTCCAGAAGATCCTCAACAGAAAGTGGAAGGATCGCCACATTAATGTCATTGTCCTCATGGAGGCCAACACCTTCAGTACTGAGGCCATGATTATCCAGCACCAGGTGAGGTAGAGAGGGTACTGTGCGCGCATGACTGATGCATGCCTACCAAAACAACTGCTGTACGCCCAACTCACCAAAAGAGAAAGGAAATGGGGAGGCCAAAAGAAACACTTCAAAGACACCCTCAAGACAAAGATTAAGAGATGTGTCATTGATACCACGCACTGGTAGACAGTAGCCCAGGACAGGGCTAACTGGTGAAGACTTGTCAGAGAAGGAATGATCACTTTTGAGAAAAATTGCCTTGCCCTGGTTGCAGAAAAATGGCAGAAAAGAAAGAACAGACAACTGTCATACAGCAATCATGGCCCAACCCTGCCTTCCAACATCACCTGCAATGTCTGCCAACGAGTTTGTGGCTCAAGGATTCAGTCACCAAAGGACCCATAAAAAGTAAAATCTGTGGAAGAGATCATCCTTGACCTCAGGGGATCACTGCTGCTGCCACCCAGCTGATGATGATGCTATCAAATGGCTGGGCACACTGAGCATATTCTGAGTATCAAGGATTCTAACTATCCCGTACCCTTAGGCTTCCCATTGTGTGACCCCTTTCTCACGAGACCCTCTCTCAAAAGGCCCTGCTCTTTCTTTCCGACCTGCTCTTGAGCAATCTTTGGAGAGAAACCTCCCATCCCCAATCCTTCATCCACTCCCAGTGTCCTCACAGGATGAGACCAGTCTGCCACATATCTCCTCAGCTCTTCAGGGGTCAGCTCACTGGCCTGCATTTTCCTTGGGATTCTTTGCAGGAGGATAGGAGGGAGATGTCAAAATAGACTCTCTCTCCCTTAAATCTCTCCTGTCCTACACAATACTCCTGGATACTTTGATACCTGGAAAGTTACTGGAGCAAGTTAATAAACAATCGATTTGTAAGTACCTGGCATGCCAAACCAACCTAATTTCCTTCTTTGACAGGGTTACTGGCCTAGTGGATGGGGAAAGCAACAGATTTGATTTCCTTTAATTTTTAGTAAGACTTTTGACACAATTCCACATGATATTTTCATAAACAAACAAGGGAAATGCTGTCTAGATGAAATTACTATAAGGTGGGTGCACAATTTGTTGAAAGACTGTACTGAGAGTTGTTATCAATGGTTTGATATCAGATGGGACCCATGGGGGCGGGGTGTGTGTCCTCAGTCTGGTATGCTTCAACATTTTCATTAATTACTTGGATAATGGAGTGGAGAATATGCTTATAAAATTTGTCGATGCACTAAATTGGGAGGGGTTCCAAGCAGTTTGGAGGACAGGATTAGAATTCAAAACAACCTTGATGAATTGGTCTGAAATCAACACGATGAAATTCAATAAAGACAAGTGCACAGTGCTACATTTAGGAAAGAAAACTCAAATGCACACCTACAAAATGGGGAATAACTAGCTAGATGGTAGAACTGCCGAAAAAGGAGCTGGAGGTTGTAGTAGCTCACAAACTGAATGAGTCAAAACTGTGATGCAGTTGCAAAAAAAAGGCTATTATCATTCTGGGATGTATTAACAGGAGTGTTGTATGTAAGACACAGGAGGTAATTGTCCCACCCTACTTGGCACTGAGGCCTCAGCTGGAGTATTGTGTCCAGTTTTGGGCACCATGCTTTAAGAAAAATGAGACAAATTGGGGAGAGAGTTTAGAGGAGAGCAATAAAGATGATAAAAGGTTTAGCAAACCTGACCTCTGAGGAAAAATTTTAAAAACTGGGCATGTTTAGTCTTGAGAAAAGAACATGGAGGGGGATCCGATAAGACTTCAAATCTATTAAGGGCTGTTATAAAGAGCATGATCAATTGTTCGCCACATCCTTGAAGGAAGAACAAGAAGTAATCAGCTTAATCTGCAGCAAGGGAGAATTAGTTCAGATATTAGGAAAAATGTTCTAACTTTAAGAATATTTAAGTACCAAGGAAGATTGTGGAAACCCCCTCACTGGAGGTTTTTAAGAACTTGTTAAACAAACACCAATCAGTGATGGCCTAGGTATTATGGGTCCTGCCTCAACACAGGGGGATGGACTAGATGACCTCCGCACACCAATTGTATGTGTAATATAATGTAAAATCTGGTTGACTGGAGTGAAGATGTCAGCTGAAGAGTCTGCGTAGCACCCCATTTCAACATAATGACATCTAAGAAAAATTAATCACCTTTATTTCTTGCTGTTCTGTTAACCTAGGGTAAAAGTCCTACAGAGAGTGTTGTCCTAGGGGGTTCTAAAATGGAATGCATGTTGCAGTCTCTTTATGTGGAGAACAGAGCAGGCTACTTCTTCACATGCTTCTGTGAGAAGTCAGGGAATGAGGTATGAGGTATTTTCTTACCCTGTGGTAATTTATTCCATAACTGACTGAACACCAAGCTACAGAGGGCAGCCAGGCTGAAAAAATAATTGGAGAAAGAAAGGGGTGGTGGTCATGCATATTTTGGAACTAAAGATGGGCCTCAACCTGACTATCCCAAACCTATTTGAAGTCTGAGTGTTCCATCAGGGATGAAAGGGACTATTCATTGTGAATAACTGCCTTTTCCATCTGGCAGAAAAACCAGATGAGATCCTGGCCTGCAGAAAGATTTAAAAAAGGGGGGGAAAGAAGAATATCTACTAGAATATAATCTCTTTCACATGCTAGTCTTTCACCCCCTTCCTTGTGGTGTCAGTAATGTCCAGAAGTATCCAGCATTTGCAAAAAGTTCTTTAGCGTTAACTGAAGTTCCATGAACTTCTAGGAAACATCATTATATTTCTTCTCTGCAGTCTGCAAAGCCACTACTTGCTGCAGGATGTAGAGGGAGAATATGTTGGAGCTAGTCAGCGTGTGGGCTTTGCAGAAGCAGTGAATCTTTAGGAAAGATTTGAAAAAGATGAGGACGTAGGCAGTGGTCATTCCATCCATTGGCAGGTTTCTTATAGATTTCTCACAGATGTCTAGAATGCAGCAGCAGTGGCCAGAAATGCTTTCTTCTGCCTTTGGCTCTCCAGGAGACAAATAGCCACAATTTTTCAAACCTGGGTGCCTTAAATTAGAATCCTAAATTACATTTAGCCACATACATAAAACTGGCTTCACTTTGCAAAGAGGATGAGCATCCATAAATCCCACAGAAGTAAATGGGATCTGTGGTGATCACTCCCTTCCAAAAATCAAGCCATTTATATCAAGTGTCTTCAGCTGTGGAACTTGTGTTCAGCCTGACCTCTGACTGAAACAAGTCTGTAACAAACAGGTTATGGAGCAAAACTCCTCTCTTCAGCAGGTATTCCTTTAATTGTCAGTCTCAAGAAGCAGCTAGCCCAAGAAATGTGACCCAACCCTCATAAGTGAAGGGCTAGAACAGAGAGGTGGGGGGAGGAGGGGAAGAGCTAGCTCTTTCTTCTGAAAGATGTTTGATATTTTTGTTTGACTCAATGAAATGGGGGCCAAGATATGATACCTTAGAAACAAATATAATAACAATATAGTCAATAACAATATAGTCACAATAACATATGCCCAGTATAAAACATTTAATTGTCTGGATTATTGCTGCAAAATGCAATCCCACCATGGCACAAGTTCTGCACGTACATTATCAACATTTCTTAAGTGCTGGCTTCACGCCATCGAAATGTGGTTACTTTTCAAATGTTAACTGTAACGTTAACAATTTTAATGGCCAATTATATGCAAAGGATACAATAAAAGATATAATATCGCAGTGACAATGCCATTAAACATGTTGTCCTGTTGCCAGTATGCAACAGAAGATTAAAACCATCTTAAATTGAGCTTGATTTATGATGACCCCAAGGAGCTAAACAATTACTTGGATTGGAAACCCAAGCTTTTATAAAGCCCTGATAATTGGGTAGTAATAACTTATATTCTTTTTCCATCTGTAGCTGTGGAAGAACAGTGCGTACTTTTGGTTTGACCTACAGGCTTATCATCAACTTTTCTACCAAGAAACCCTTCAGCCTTTTAAACTATGCAAGCAAGCTCAAGTAAGTTATAAATGTGTTTTCCCTTCAGTACTATCTTTGTTCAATGTAAGACTGTTTAAAAAAGACAGAAGAACTGAAAGGGTTTCCAAGTCTCCTCAACCCCAAGCAAAGGAAATTTGAGGTTGTGGACAATAAATCCAGCTTTAAATTGTTACCATGGAATTGCTTGACTTAAATGTTAGCCATGCATAGTTTGTTTAATAGGATCAATTCCATTCCCAGTTTTTTCTATTAATATTCAGTTTGCATAGTCTCCCCTTTGCTACTCACTGCCCATGTTACCTCTTATTTGAAAATAGCTACTGTTAATGCTGATCATTCTTTTCGTATGTTTATGTGTAAATCAGTTGCTACCCTCTCCCATGAGGGTTAGAATTTCAAATCCTGAAGCCTAAGCTTAGGATATTGACTTTAGTCATAGAAGTGGATCTTCCAGTTGTCAGTCTTATAGCTTTTCCTTTTCTTAATTTCAGCCCATTATTACTCCTGATTATACAGTTACTCTCCCTCCTTGGTGTTAAGCTGCTGCACAGATTTTTAGAGTGCTAATGAGATTGCTTACCTGTGAGAGTTCTTCACTGGCTTTACACTGTAAGTTCAGGTGCAATGAAAAAGTTAATTATTCTCCCACTGACCAGCAATGTCGATAACTCAGACCCTGGCCCTATAAGACTGTTGGATACTGATGTGGGAGAAAGATACAGCCATTTTAAGTATGCCATATACATTTTACTGTCATTTTGAGAAACCTGGGTCTCCTTTTCCTTTCTAAATTATCCTGTGACTGGGCAAATTGTATCTAAACCTTTAAATATATGTCCGTTGCCCCAAAGACAGCAGACCCAAGTATCACTTAGGGAGCACCACTTCCCATGTCCATAAAGCATATGTCTGTAGAGAGAGGAATGGCAATTTAAACAACCAGGGTAATTTAAATTACAATGTAATTTGCATTATAAGTTATTGCTGTACTGAGCAGTTGTAACTCTCCCTCCATGGCTTTTCCATAGCACTGAGTGTGCATGGGTCAGTGGCTGACTGTGGATATTGATTGAACTGGCAGAGGGATGGCTACTCCTTGGGATCCTTGTCAGGGGAAGGAGGAGGCACCTCCTACTCCATGCTCTCATACCTGCCCAGAAACACGTGGAGTCCATGTGTGTCCATGGGGAGCTGGGGAGTCTCAACCTACTTCAGTCTCCCATTCAGGTTCACTGGAGACAGGGACTCTCTCCTCCCGCATCACCTATGGCCCTCTTAGAGCCATCTTAGACCCACAGGTGCTGTGTTGGCTACCCCTACCCTTTAGTTGCAGTTGTCACAGCTGGGTTTCTGGGCTTGCTTTGGCGGGGCTACGGAGGATTTTTTCCTGTATTTGCAGCATCCTAAAGGGCTGGTAATGTAGGAAATTAAGGAAAAGAGATCACAATTAAAACAAACAATAGACATTAGACTTCGGTGGTAATGTCATTAGTAAGGGGTAATAAAACAGAGTAATTATTGTTAATACTTGTGTCCAATGTCCAGTACACATGAGAGGCTTTAGAGGCTAGCTTCTGGGCTAAACCAAAGCCTGGGACCCAGGAGTTCCTGTGGTGGAGTCACCCCTGTTGCCCCCACCACCTTGTCTGCGGAGGAGGATGCGGAAGGTATAACTGGCTGAGTCACTCCCTCAATGTCCACAGAAGCCTGAGGGACTTTGTACTGGGCCTCAATAGCCTGTGGGCATAGGAATGTTTTAAGGTGCATGAAGAATAAAACACCCTTTGTCTGTACCCTCACTCTCCTTCAGAGTGGGAGAGTAGCAGGACTGAATCCTGTCTTCAGTTAGGGAGGGCTAGACTAAAGGAGTCAATCTTCACTCATTGGGATGTTAATGCTTAAGGCTGGTTAATCTCATACTAGAGCCAATTAATGCCTGGTAGTCTGAAGGGGTGAGAGCAGAGTATGGCAGCATGTTCAAAGTTAATAAAGTTGCAGCCTGCTTCTTTAATTCCACCTCAGTTCTGCATCTTCATTCTTCTGTCTGTCCTGATCTAAGCGTTCTTACTCATGGGCAATAAGGGAAACACCACAATAACTCAGGGATAACAAACACTCAAAGCAGTCACAATGTTGAGTTTTTCTCTTTTTCCTAAAATTCAGGAGGACACATTATAAATTGTATGTATCAGTCTCTGTCTTAAGACAAAAATGTCAAACCTAGTTGCCTAAAGTTTGATGTCTAAATTCATATTTAGGCATTTAAATATGTGAATGGCCTGCCTTGAGTGCCTGCAGAACACATATATATTAAAGGGAGCTGCAGGTACATAGGATCTTTGAAAAATCAGCCAAATTTATTTAGGTGTCTTAATATGGATTTAGGAGCCAAATTTACTTTTGAAATTTTTAGCCTTTGGGCCCGTGTCTCCATTGTGTTGCACCTTGTGCAGTCATTTGCACCAATGCAAAGTGGATATGAAATACTGCCATTCTGATTTGGTCAAGTTTTATACTTACTTTGCCCTGGACTAAAAGGCTACATGACTGAAAAGCAAGCCTTTAGTCTTGTCTTATCTTATTTCCAGCCCTGGCCTGGTGGTGACAGCAAAACATCATACAATCAGCGTTACTAGGCAATCACAGAAAGCTACATACACATGACCATTAAAGTAAATACATCAGAACGAAATATGTGAAACTGTTCCATTAGCATCACAGCTGAAATGAAATATAACAAATCAACACATGTGCTGAAACATTTGGTATCATTCTCAAGTTTGCCTTTTAAGGCTGCACACAAATTATTCTTGTTTTCATTGGAACACAGATGAGAGTCAAGCTGTATCCAATCAAAAGGGCCTGCTTCTGGAAAAGATGCCTTCCCGAATTCTGCACTCACCTTTGAAACAATGAGATAGTTATTCCAGCTACTCCTAATGTCAATCAGATTTCTAACAGCACATTGTCATATATTTTACTATTTACTACTCAGAGAGATCAAGTGTTTCATACGATTTTCTGTACATAACACAGTTAGAAGAAAGAAGAAACTTTGATCACTGTATTTTCCTGGTCAGTGTTTTATCTAAGCTTTATGATATGCCCTGGCATGTGTTTCCTTAATATATAAGTGTGTATAATAAAAGAAACTCAAGTGAGGATGAAATGTGATGCACTAGAAAAAGATGAGTGACAGTAATAATCCAGGAATGTATGGGTTATTTCACTATAAACACACATGCTGGAGTGTAAAACGAATTGGAAAAAGAAAAATAATAAAGAAACAAAAGTTGCAATCTGCTATGAAAAATAGTATTTAGGGTTAGACAAATTTAATACCATTATTGGAAATATAGTATTTTAATACTAGAGCCAATTTAGATGAAGAGTTATTATTATCATGGATTTGTTGAGGAATAATACTAAGCATCCTTTGTGTTTTTGCATAAACCTAAGCATTCTGAGATTACATACTGAAAATCTTTACATTTAGGGATGAGTTTAACCAAAACCCCAGATCTGAACACTCCCAAATTTGGGAGTTCATAATCCAGACCTGAATCATAATCTGACTTTCCCAGAAGTTTGGTATATTTACATTTGGTCCTTTATAAATAACTTCAAGATGCAAATTCTGATCAGACTCCAGATTCCGGTTTTGGTTTGGACCCATCACTAACTTTAATACTTTTATAGAAAAATATATAGCTGGAAGGTAGGAAAATTCTTTGTGTGTTTTACTGAAGTTGCAAAACATTGAATAAATTAAGTCTGATGGGCCTGAGATTTTACATATGCAAAGATCTTTATTTGAATTTTACAGCCTTATGTTCATTTAATTTAAAGCAAGTCTCTTGTAATACACAATATAATGCTCTATGAATTCCTTAGTGCACAGGCTCGCATAGGGGCCATTCAGGAGTTTCACAGCCCCAGTGAAAATCTGGAAGAACAGTAATTCTTATAGTTCCCTTGCATGGAGCGGAAACAGGGCCTCTGATACACCACGGTAGTTGAGCAGGGCAGTCACCTTGGACACCAGCTTCCAGGAGGAGCCAAACTGCTAAGCAGCTCGCTTTTTTTGGTCTTGGCCGCTCAAAGAGTGGAGATGAGCACCGAAAATGTTTTCCACCCTCGGGGTGCTCCTGGATACACCCATTAAGAGCATGTAATGTGTTCTTCCCTCTGAAACTGACTGGCTCCATTTGACAGTGCAGAAGGAGAAAGTCATGGGCACCGCTTCTCCTCCACTTGTTTGTGATGACCAGCACAATTTGCAGTAATATCCCATTCACTCCTTACATTCAGGCCAGGGCAAGGTGTGCAGTTGTGACTGACCCCTGTATTGGGAACACAAGGTGGTGGAAGGTTCCGTGTCACCTCTCCCATCATGCATCAGCACAAGCACTTAGTCACACTCTGGCCCTATATTTCTACTTGGGGGCTCAGACATTACAATGATGGGCATAGTATAAAAATCTTGATAGATTGTTGTGGGCCAGCTTCTCAGATGTCATAAATCTGTATATCTCCCTTGAAGTCAACAGAATTACATCAGTTTAGAGCAACTGAGGAGCTGGTCCTTAGGGTATATGTCTATGCTGCACTGTAAACCCGAGTGTCCACACCGAATTGTAAAACTGGGTTTACAATTGCTGGACCCTGGTCTCACAGCCATGCTAACACATCCATACTGCACTGCACAGACCTTCTGACTCAGTTCTGCGAGTGCATCCACATTGCAAAATGACAGGGCTTGGACCCAAGTCACGGTGGTATTTCAGGCTCTGACCCACCCCATAGTGGGGTCCCAGGACCCAGGTCCCGAGTGCTTGCTGACCTGACTCAGACTGATCTGTGGGTGGATGGATGTAGGGCTTGGGCTCCAGTCTGAGTCAGAGCCTGGCCTCCATGTACCATGTAGACATACCCTTAGTTAGGGAAAATTAGAGCCCTCCTAAAGCTCATTTAACACCTGTAAATTCCCATGTCTAATAAGTAATAACTATATATAG